GTTACTAGCTTGAGTTTGAGAACTGGGTGTAATCCTACCTAACTGATCTCAACTAGTTAACATTCCTGTTTATGAAAAGAAACTAAAATCTTCCTTAGGTAGCTGGGGAGGAATTAGGCTGACTAATATGCTATGTAAAATATTAATCTCCATGATCATAAGACTGGTTTCAGAACAACGTGTGTACTTATCGATGAAATATTTATCTTTCAGGCTTTGGGATATTTACATACTTACTGAAACCTGACGAGAGTTGTATTTCATGACCTTAAGGCACAATTCTGTTTCACTGGCTTGCACGTTCTATGGCAGTTTATCATTAAAAGGTGTACCGTATAAATACGTGAACCTCGTGAAGATTTTGTATTGGAACACCATTGATCAAGCCAGAGCTTATAGGGAAACCATCAATATTAAGTAGGGTTTGTTAGGGTTTCCTACTACCCTACCTATTTTTATTTACCATATATATATACATATATATCAGCTTCGAAATAACACTTTCCTCCGATAAATTCAAAAATATTGATCTTCAGTCCAGAGAGGTGCATCTATCACCTGAGAGTACTAAGATGACAAAGTTTCATTTGGTAAAGACCTCAACAAAGGCCTGAGCCTCCAAGACTTTTTGATTAACAATACGAACATATTTGAAATACTTTTCCATCCGTTTAAGTGCAAAATTCTGCTTCATATCTGGTTTACACTACTGTAGAGACGGATCATATCTAGTGAAGTAGTTGAATCTTTTAATCACTTAAGTTATCTTGGAAATCTCATCAACTATAGTGGGCCGGTCTATGAATAAATTTCAGTACGGATTGAGATAGTTAGTTTGGCGTTTGTTAACTTGCATCACTTGTGAAGCAAGCGAGACGTTAGTCTATCAAAAAAAGATCGTGCATACTGAATAGTGGTTCTTTCTGTTCTGCTTTGTGGCTGCGAAACATGTTCTTAGAAAGTAGAAGACATGAGTAGGCTGTAAGCAACTGTTTGTAGTTATCTTAGAAGCATTGCTCTCAGTTGGTAGAATAACTGAGTGTACAATATTGAGGTTAGGTATGGAATACTCGTTAAATGTGGCAAATTAGTTGATAAGGTTGTAATTCTTTATCAATTGAAGTGGTTAAGACATGTTTTGTAAATCCCCAACCATTACCTTTCTATATGCACAACTTTGACTAGCTTATAAGCAGGTTCGAAAAAGAAAAAGGTGATTAAACCATTACTCGTTATCAATTATTAACTGTTAGAGTGATCCATATTAGTAAATGAAAAAAAAATTCGTTTAGGGTTGTTACAATAACGCTGATTAAAAGATATCTGATGGCATGCTATAGTGTGGTGTACTTATATCCATATAAGTAGTATATGGTGATGGTCAGGCATAGAATGTATTTTGGCAGAAGATCGATAAGAAGAAAACACGAATGAAGCACAATCGTTACGAAAACGCATGAACAATGAAATCAGAGAAGATGGAATGATATTCACAGAAGAAACAGTGAAGATTGAGACAATTGGTTGTTATTTTGCAAATTAACTGTTTATTGTATGATTATCAGAATTTGTTGACATAGTCTATAACTAGTGTTCTTGTTCACTAAAATGCTACTGAATCAGTATCAGTCATGTAAACCAATTAATTCTTTTTCTTGCACTAGAATTTAAATTTCAATGTTCTTTCATAAAAACTCGTTAGCAAGGTGTACCTGTAATCTTGAGGGTACTGGTGCCCCCTGACGTATTCGATCCTGTGTCACTCAGCTCCACAGTCAGAGACGTTACCACTGAGCTATGAATGTCATGCGTGTTAAGTCCTTCTTAGTGCTGACCTAGGTGGTTCAACACTGCATGCACTATGTTGAGATAAGATGGTGGTTGGAGTGATCAGCACTAAGAACGACTTGACACGCATGACATTGATCATCACCCAGTAATCAGTCAATTGTGACGAAGTAAAACTTCATATTTTAATGACAAGTGATAAAAGACGATACAACAAAATCAACATAATGAATATAAACATATCAACTTCTTTTTATTGGGGTGACACTTGAGAACTGATAAAATTGTTAACATAATGATCTATGAGTAATATCAGTCACCCAGTATTGATGTCAGTGGTGTAATTGAAAGCAAGGGGGGGACATTTGCCAGTTGCTATGTTATATTATAGAACCCATCAACAGAGTACAGACCTGAGCCCGATGGTGACTAAACTCTAGACCAACGAGTTTTGAGTTGATCGTTTGCACAATGATACGTAGAGTTGCGATTTGATCTGTGCACGATCTATCCTTACGAAATCCAGCTTGTTGATCTCGAAGTTGGGCGTCCACTGAATCCTTCATCCTGTTTAACAATACTCTGTTGAAGACTTTTCCTGGTATTGAAAGAAGAGTGATGCCCCTGTAGTTGTCGCACTTGCTCAGATCGCCTTTCTTTGGTATCTTGATCAGAAGTCCTTTTTCCAGTCTGTTGGTACTTGTTCTTCATCCCAAATCTTACTGAAGAGGATGTGCAGTATCTTGGCAGTTGCTGCTACATTTGATTTCAGTGCCTCTGCCGGGATGTTGTCTGGTCCCGCTGCTTTACCGATCTTGATTTGTCTAATGGTCATGCTGATCTCTTCAATTTATGGTTGGGCAATATCGATTGGGAGGTCCGTGGGTGCTGCTTCGATGTTGGGTGGATTCAGTGGAGCTGGTCGATTTAAGAGTTCTTTGAAGTGTTCTACCCACCTGCTTCGTTGTTCTTCAATGTCGGTGATTACTTTGCCTTCCTTGTTTTTCACTGGTCTTTCTGGTTGACGGTAATTTCCAGCAAGTTTCTTTGTTGTATCATACAGTTGTCTCATGTTTCCCTCTCTTGCAGCCTTTTCCGCTGTCATCGCTAAATCTTCCACATATTTACGTTTGTCGGTTCTGATGCTCCTCTTCACTTGCTTGTTTGCCTCTGTGTATTCGACTTGTGCCTTGGCTTTTTCCGCTCTGGTTCGGCTGATATTGATTGCTGCCTTCTTGTTCCTCCTTTCTTCAATTTTATCCAGTGTACCAACAGTGATCCATTCCTTGTGATGGTGCTTCTTGTAGCCCAGAACCTCTTTACATGCTGATACGATTGCCTCCTTGATACCTTTCCAGTTGCTCTCCATGGTAGTCCCCTCTCAATTGAGTAGGTCATGAAAGGCCTGGAACCTGTTGCTGAGGGCTATGTTGAATTTGTTGAGTTTGTCAGCATCTCGAAGAAAGGCCGTATTAAACTTTTGTGATGTTGTCCGCGCCGTTGTCCACTGCTTCTTGAGTTTTAGTTTCATCTTGGCGACCAGCAAATGATGATCGGATGCTATATCAGCTCCTCTTCTGGTTCTCACATCCTCCATCGTCCTCCTGAACTTTTTGTTGATGCAAATATGGTCGATTTGGTTCTGTGAAGTGTGATCCGGTGAAATCCAAGTGGCTTTGTGTATGTTTTTGTGTGGGAATATGGTGCCACCTATGACCAGTTTATTGAAGGTACATAGGTTTGCAAATCTCTCACCATTTTCGTTCCTTTCTCCCAGTCCATGTTGTCCCATGACGTCTTCGTATCCAGTGTTGTCCATTCCAACCTTGGTATTGAAATCTTCCATTAGAATGGTCAGGTCCTTGGTTGGGCACTTCTCGAAGATCGACTGCAGCCTATCGTAGAATTGGTCTTTAGCGTCTTCATCGTAGTCATTGGTAGGCGCATAACATTGGATGACGTTCATTGTAATGCCCTCTCCCTTTGTTTTGAAGGAGGCTTTGATGATCCTCGGTCCATGAGATTCCCATCCAATAAGTGCATTTTGTGCTTTTCTGGACAGCATCAATGCAACTCCTTGTGTATGTGGGGCATTTTCTTCTTCATGACCGGAGTATAACAGAAGTTTTCCTGAAGACAGTCATTGTTGTCCAACCTGCGTCCAATGCGTTTCACTGATTCCAAGCACCTCCAAGTTGTATTTTCTCATTTCCGCAGAAATTTGGAAGACTCTGCCGGTCTCCCACATTGTCCGCACATTCCATGTACCTATATAAATTGTCCCTCTGGTTGTTAGAAGGTGCATCGGCCTCATGACTTCCTAAGGAACTCGGCTTTCATCATGAGACGTCATAATTATTCCTTCTACTCCCAGGGCAGAGTTTAAATGGTTTGAGTAATTTTTTCTGGTTAGCGTTTTTTTAGCGAGTTAATTTTCTACGGGATGGGGTCGCTAACCTCATGCCCAACCCTCCTCCTTGTGTGGGCTTGGGACCGGCAGCAACCCCCAGAAGAGTTACAGGCGGTAAAGCTAATCTTCTTGTCCGTGATCCTTACAGTTCCCAATATATGTAAAAGACGTGTTGGAAACCTAGTGATTTATTTGTCCGTACATTCATAATGAATGTAGTTAGGAATAGGTTATTGATGAAAATAAGTTTCATCATATGTGTAGTTGTAAAATTGAAATATTTGTTTGAGCGCTCTGTTTTCAGGTGGTTGTTCACAGACGGCGGTAGTTTATCATCATTAACCATTATCATATATTTATGTTCAAAGTTTATGCTAGATAAATGAGTCGTAGGTGGACTGCTACATATCTTCAGCTGAGGCAAGAAACAATTTGTCGATGCATTTCAACTACTGAAATCATTAGATAGTAGTGTGTTTTCTTATTATGATGTTTCTAGGCCTAATTTTAGTTTTTTGATAACGTGCAAATAAACTTGTTTTCAAAAATAGGGAGTACTGGACATAAAATTCATTCTAGCACGCAACTTATAAACAGTTTACAACAATCTACTTCATTTTTATAACCATAGCAGTCATCTGTTTTGACAATCTTAAAGTCAATGTTTTTATGGCAGCCATGAGTTGTCAACTAACAAATGAGGGTGGATTACCAAATAATTTGTAACAAATATTTTCATAAAATCCTCAATATCTTTTCTCGTAATCAATACTATACCTTATACTTATTTTCGTTGCATTAGTCGTTCAGGTTCCTCCTCCAATTCTGATCATAATCCTCCAGGATCATCATCAGCTATTAGTTCTGACAAGGCAATTGTATTTCTCGGAGAACAAATTCGGTTGCCCACAGAACTATACAATGTATTTGAAATAAATCCTACAGAGTCCGCCCTGACATCTAGTAAAACAAATCTCGAGACTACTGACGATGTTAGCCATCTAGTTCAAATATGTAATATTGATCCAAGTTTGATTGGAAGTAATTGTAATTACTACTTTCAAGTAAGTTAATTGTTTACTTATATAACTTTATTACGTTAATTGATTTTACTACAACCATTGCCCTATGGATGCATAATATTTATGCATGCTTGTAGACTAATACCGTATGAGGAACAGGAACTTATGAGACTGAGTCTATGAATTAGAAGGATGAATAAACTCCAAACCAGTTCATTGTGTATATCGATCTACAATTAGTTTGAAATTGTAGTTAATTGGTTTAGGCATTTAGATTAATTAATCAACAGACATTTTTAGCCACCAATTTTCCAATGAAAGTATGGCCATGTGTCAGTTCAGGACATAAATATCTAGTTTACTTTTGCTATCTTACTTTTATGATTATTACACTAAAGTAGGATCTTCATTTGTTTCTACTCCTAACGTTGTTTGATAATTCATTTAGTGTTGATTGTTTGAATCTTCCCATCGATGTGTTAAGACTGCAACTGGTCAGTCTCTAATTGGCATATGTGCATACTGTGCGTATTGCCTCGATATAGCCTTAGCCAATTAGAGACTGACCAGTTGCAGTCTTAACACATCGATGGGAAGATTCAAACAAACAATACTAAATGAATTTAAACTTCACCCCATTGCACAAGTAAGTGGTTATCAGGACTCAGTGGCCGAGTGGATAACGCGATGGCGTTTGAAGCAAGGGTACTGGATTGGAGTCCCAGAGTGAACATCAACTCTGAGATGTAGGTACATCCAGCTGACGAGTCCCAAATAGGACGAAACGAGCGTCAAACTGGATTCCACTGCTAGCCACTATCCACTTCTGCTTACGTTGTCTGATAATGACTAAAAACGCTGGACTGCTTGATTTATAGGAGCCTTATCAGTGAGTTATAATAGAACGATAGATTTTAGTCATATGTAGCTGTTTTTCATACTGAGGCTCCATGTCGTAAACTGTTCCACTCTCCTTTCTTTCTACCAATGAAAGATGTAGAAGTCGCTAGAATAAAATGTCCAAGTCACCGAAGTCGGTATTTCAAGATGGTGACAATAAGTGAACTATTATCACAGTTCGCAAAAAAATCGCTGAAAGTTGATACTAATAACATGATGTTGCCATCAGATGTGAGCAACCGTTCGGAGAAAGGTTGCATAAAATCCTTAACTCAGATAGGCCAGTTGTTATAAGTATAAAGCAAAGCTGATTTTACCGACGCATTGTAAATTTGACTTTTGACTGTCAAACTAACATCTTAACAGTGCCAAAGATGGTCCAGTTCGGTATAAACCGTTCTGATGTACTCTAAACACAGATTATTCTCATCTGACACCCAACCAAACATAACTCACACAGCTAGCCAGATACACTAACTTCTTGACCACTTTTAATAGTTCACTTAAGGCACATGCTCCTACCAATCTTCCAAAAATACATGCTATACTTGCGGATATTGATTTTCAACTAATTAGGTGGGATTTTTATAGCTTAATTATTACTGCTTAGTAAAACAATATCATTCGCATACTCGAGATCTAAAAATTGTTCTCCAGGTAACAGATTCGCATCACCAGTACCTGATCCAGTAAGAGCTGTTTCTAGTGCGTTATCGGTGAAAAAGTTGAAGAGGAGTGAAGAAATTGGACAACATTGCTTTAACTTAACTTTCTGAATGAAACAATGGAAAGAGGCGGTTCTACTGGATGTAACCAAACAGTTAACAAACGATGAAATACGACCACCACATCCCTATATTGGGCGATAAGCAATAGATTAGAAACAATGAAGAAAATATTTCTACTTTGATGATTTCAATGAATCTTAAACCTATCTCGATTTGGGACAGAACAAGCAATCGGTTTGCTAGTATTAATACAATTTGGCAGTAAGGACTTCACCTTCCAGGGCACCATTTATTTTGGGAACATCTTTAGAAATATCAAGCTCACTTACATGATACTGAACAACGATTAGTATATACACCACTTTAGTGTACTGGGGACCTGCGTATGAAAGCAAATTGTTCACGGGGCTTGACGAGAATATGTTTTTCATTATCATTATGAAATTTATGAAACCTATATCCATGTCTAAAATTTGATTTCTAAAACTACTTTACAGTTGTTTGAATTTGTGTTATTTAATGAAAGGATGAACACCATCAGAACCAATTTGATATATATTTGAGCAATATATTTTGAACAATCTGATCATACACATTTGTTAAGAACATATATATGAAAAATAAGACGTCGACTAGATGGCAATTAAGAGTAGAAGATACTCGTAGGTTACTAGTATTTGACCACAGATGCATTAGAAATATTGCTCGCATCTGCTGGGATAACCAGGTAAGTAATAGTGAGGTTAGACGCAGGGTATTAGGGAACGATGGTAAATCAGTTGATGAGGTCATGAATCTTCATCGACTGAGATGGTTGGGCCAGGTGTTACGTATGCCCGAACACCGATTACCACGACGCGCTATGATGACTAGTGTAGGGGATTGTTGGAAGAGAGTTAGGGGGAGGCCAAACCAAAATGTGGCATCAGTGTTTGAAGTCACTAACTTCTAGTCTGAGCCATGTTGGTAGATGCAGACTACCTGGTTGGGGTCCGCGTAACTATCGTAACCAATGGTTGGAGACTCTGTGTGACATGGCTCAGAATCGATCACAATGGCGTAGGTGTATACACTCTTTATCTTCCCTTAAACCTTGAGATTAAAATTGCTTCATAACTTTCTTCCTTCCTATACTATATCCTTATATACAACCTTTCTTTATATACTACCACCACTGAATTAATTACTTCTATGAATTCTGTGTTCATCTTGTTGTGCTAACGAGGTATGGCAACTTGGACCGATGCATATATGTGCCTGGTCCTACGTTGTAACTGACTGACTGACTGACTGATCGACTAGATATGTGGAAAATAAGAGGCCACAAGTATAATGAGAATAATGTGGAACATGCCACGTTGGGAAATATATCAATACTGCCAGGGTAAGTTTATTGTGAGAATGGACGGTCTTAACATGTATGCGACCAGATTGTTCGAAATGTATTCAGCTAACATCCAATATAGTTCTGATAATTACCTCCTCATTAAATTATACAAATTTGCAGAAGGGACTAATTATTTTAAAGTTAGTTTCATGTTTTTCTACTTTCTAAAGGTTATGTCTCCATCCCAAAGAATGATCAAGGCTTCAACCATTTGCCTTGATAGTTCAAAAAGGAAAACTGATGATGTTCAATGTTCCTGCCTAGAGAACAATGATGATTTCTCAGCTATGAACACACCAAATCACCTTCGACCTGTCAGTCATTCTCAGGGTAACATGAGAGAAACTGTCAATATTCCCTTTGTAATCCATAATTATTCATGTCAGTCAGCTTTGGAAAGAGATCGATGGGTACAATTGTGAGTATATATTTATTGAAGCTTAAATAGACCAATTTCCATTCATTTTGGTAATTTCATTTGTCGCGTTGATTCAAAGTTAAGGACAACAAATCCACAAATCCTCATACTTAAAATAATCACATGCTCACTAGTGTCTTGCATCAAGGTAATTATCTGAGTTGTAGTTAGGATTTGTGACCAGTGGAGCTAATCTTTGTCGGGTGTGAGGCAGTTACCCACCGAAAACATTGGAAGATAGTCACGCAATATTATGGTATCGTTGAAGTTAGGCATTAACACCGTAAAATGCCGGTTCAGTGGTCTAGAGGTTAAGCGTCCGCACCCAAAACTGAGGATCCAACGTCCGAGTCCCACGGATGGGGTCGTGGATGTAACACCGCTGAGTTCCACACTGGGATTAGACGACCATCCAGTTTTTCCAGGTTTTCAATGGTTGTTTAGTTCATATCGACTAGTGAATTCAACTGTTAGTCTGTACATATTGTGTTATCAGCTTGTTTACAAATGACAAAAGTTTAAAAACAAGTCACTTTTTAATTGTCAGAAGAGGTTTTGTGGAGATTTAGTATTTTCATAGTTGAAAGCGTGAGTCAATTGAATCGTGGATCAGTTGAAGTTAGACATGAACAACGTTGGATGCCTTCCGGCTCAGTGGTCTATCGGTTAAGAGCTCTGGCTCGAGACTGGTAAGTCCTGGGTCCGAATCTCGCGAGTGTGGGATCGTGAATGCGCACTGCTGAGGAGTCCCATGATAGGACAAAACGGCCGTCCAGTGCTTCCAGGTTTTTCATGATAGTCTAACTTCAATTGACTCACGCTTTCAACCATAAGTCACTTTTTCCTTCATGCATTTATAAAATATGGAAACACTAAAAGTTAGAGGGAAATTGGACAGTAAATAATTAACTTCTGTTTCTATGTTAAGGTGATAGTCTGAGTAATAGTAACCATGATTTGAATGTTTTGGCAAACAAATTTTCTTTTTGTACTGACTATTGTCGAACTCATCAACACACACTATCACAATTAAACTAATTATGTTAATTAGTAAACATGTGATTGATTAAGAAACCTTCTGATTAATTCGATTATTATATGCGGTCCTTCTAAATATTTCAACCAATCATCACACAGAATTCGATGTATAAGCCTACGCCCACGCTAAATTAACATGTTAATTGTATGCAATTAAAGGGAGACAGCAGACAAAGAGCACTCATTTATTTTGATAGACAGATAGAGTTGACAGACACACACAAATCATAAATCTTTTCAACCAATCACATGTCAGAATGAATTCCATCAGAAATCGATCGATAAAATTTAATGGCTCTATAGTTCAAACTCGACTCTTGAGACTATTATATACCCAACTATATCTCGTATATGTATATATTGACAACTGTATATGGTGCATTCGAAATGTATATTTATATGTGCACAATCTATTACATCGGATAAGTAGCATATAAATTTGTTCACCGGTAGTGATTTAGTTAATGTGACTTGATATTTATACAATGGAATAATAATAATATATATGGATTAAATCTTGCTACGATTCATATTATCAACTTCATTGTATGGAATAGTTGGTCTCCATACTATGATGGATCAATGTTTCCGTAAACTTAGAAGCCTTTCCACTCCTAAATTGAAAGATGAACGATTATATGATGATGTACAATATTCAATGCCACCGTCAAAAAATCTTAGTGAATTAGCTTTAATGGATTTACATCAATCATCTGCTACAGCAGTGATTTCTAAGCCACGTGTTCATTCATTGGTAAAACTTGGAAGAAATAATTATAATGATGAGGATTATGGGAAACAGTTGAATCCGATGACAATACAACGACCAATTCTAGATTATCGTTTTACACCACCATTGACTCGATCATTAATCTCGTGAGTAAATTTCCAAGCTTTTGTTTGATTCAATTTCTACAAATTGTTTATAGTGTATTCATTGTCAGTGACAATTACATTTATCTAAGTTGAGTTGTTATTTTGTATGAAAGAAATCCACGTACACACTGTTGACAGTTCAATATGATATGAAACGTGTTAAAGCAAAATTAAACAATTCCATACAGTGGGTAAATAAATGGGGCGATAACTTTGGACATAGATAATAACATTTCTCGATTGACCAATGAGCAAGTCATATTTGGTAATCTAATGCAAGGTCTTGCACTCTACTTTAAGCTACACCTTTATGTGTATGGGATTCAGTGGTACTAACAGACTATATGAACTTAATTACACCTATAGGGGTTCGAATCTGTAGGTTGATGGGTTGAAATGAATTACTTTAGTCAATATATGTTCTGTAGTTCTTCCAGATAATGGTTTGAAATATTAAGTCAAGTTAAATTCCTTCATAAGATTTGGACGAGTCAATAGCCAGAGTTTGTAAAATATACGATAAATTGATTTTTAATTCTGTTATTACTTATACTGGTACATACAATGCAGCAAGGTTAATTGATACGACATTCAGAAACTGTCCATCAGGAAATGGTAAATTATTTGACGGATGGGTTTGTAATTTATTTTAAACGGATAGTTTTGACTAAAGACAAAAGAATGAACGTAACGGAATAATATGGATTCACTTTACTTCGTTGCTTTTCATCTGCTTCTTACAACCGTTTTTATTAATCGGTACTTTTATGTTTAGGTTATTCCTAAAGCCCCCAAATGCCCTGGTACGGCCGAGAGTGGGGAGAGTCCGCTCTCCCTCTCTAAATGCTCTCACATGGCCACGCGAATATATAGCCTCTGACAGGGAAGTCCTACTCACTGCCTTCTCGTGGCGAAGTAGGGTGTTGTTTACGAAATTGAGAGGACGAAAAGCTCATGTCCGGCGCTGTAACCGGGTTGGTGGACATGCGGGGTCCACCTATGAGAGTTGAAAAACCCTGATTCCAAACCAATGGTGCACATGGGCTCCAGTATCCTGATGGAACAAATGGCGTATGAACCTATTGTTGGCCACCGGCTACCATGGGACTGCACCTCCTGACGTTGCTCCACTGCCTTATGGATCAGACCTTTAGGTCAAAGGCTCCGGGTGTGGTCCCCTAAGAAAACCACCTGCTTCAGTCTGGGCACCTGGACAGTATCACAGCCGTCACACAAATCAAATAAGATTTGTGAGGCGCATATATATATGGTGCTTTTTGTACCAATATTTATGTTTAAATAAATAAATAATATAATAATAATGCAAGAATCATCTTTACATTGTTTGACTACTAATCCCAACATTTTAAGCTTGCATTGGTTGTCATACTTTACGGTGAGACTAAGACCAAATGCAGGTTATAAAACTGTGTGAGGAGTTCGATTTATGATGTACAGTTTCTGGTTAAGGTTAGGAATTATACTTGGGGTTTTCATCATGAACTGACATCAGCTATAATGCCAAAACTCTATTTATCCAAATGGTTGAGTTCATTTCGCGCCAAAATCAGAGACCTATTATCTTATACCTGAGTGGTTCGTCCATAAATTATAGTCTCGCCTACTTTACATTTAGCCATGAATGGTTGTTTAAAACAAGGAATAGTATATTGTACATTTTCGCTACACCTCAAAAATCTTAAATGTAAAGTTAATTCCGATTATGTTGTATAAAATACTCTCTATTGCTATATGTTAGTTTAAAGTTGTCTCCACTTTGAATAATGACTTTAAATTCACTTAGTGTTGTTTGTTTGAATCCATCTTTGCTTACAATGCTTGTGAATTTAGGCTATATCGAGGTAATACTCACAGTATGCACATATGCCAATTAGAGACTGACCAGTTGCAGTTCTAAACATCAATGGGAAGATTCATACATACAATACTAAGTTAATTTAAACTTCACCCCGTTGCACAAGTAAGTGGCTATCAGAACTCAGTGACCGAGTGGATGACGCAATGGCGTTTGAAGTAAAAGTTACTGGGTTGGAGTCCCAGAGTGAACATCAACTCTGAGATGTAGGTACATCCAGCTGACGAGTCCTAAATAGGACGAAACGCGTGTCAAACTGGATTCCACTGCTAGCTACTATCCATCTTTGCTTAATAATGACTTTAGTCATGTTGCTCTTCGTGGTTTATTTATTTAAACACATAAATATTGGTACAGAGGGGGAGCCAAATACATATGTACCACACAAATCTCATTTTACTTGTGTGAGGGTTGCGATACTATCCAGTTGCCCAAAATGAAGCAGGTGGTTTTCTTAGGGGGCCACACAAGGAGCCTTTGACCTGAAGATATGATCCACAAGGCAGTAGAGCATCGTGAGGAGATTCAGTCCCATGGTAGCCGGTGACCAACAGTTGGTTGATACGCCATTTGTTCCCTCAAGATACTGGAGCCCATGTGCACCATTGGTTTGGAATCAGGGTTTTCCAACTCCCCTAGGTGGACCCTTCATGTCCACCATCCCGGTTAAAGCTCCTCCGGAGGCTACTGCCTGTCCCAAGCCCACACAAGGAGGAGGGTTGGGCATGAGGTTAGCGACCCCATCCCGTAGAAAATTAACTCGCTAAAAAAACGCTAACCAGAAAAAATTACTCAAACCATTTAAACTCTGCCCTGGGAGTAGAAGGAATAATTATGACGTCTCATGATGAAAGCCGAGTTCCTTAGGAAGTCATGAGGCCGATGCACCTTCTAACAACCAGAGGGACAATTTATATAGGTACATGGAATGTGCGGACAATGTGGGAGACCGGACATTCGCTTTTCGTCCTCTCAATTTCGTAAAAATACTCCCGCCACGAGAAGGCGGTGAGTAGGACTTCCCTGACAGAGGCTATATATTCGCTGGCCATGTGAGAGCATTTGGAGAGGGAGAGCGGACTCCCCACTCTCGGTCGTACCAGGTCGTTTGGGGGTATAGTCACATCTCGGACTTGTTAACATAATATGAGTTGTTTGGTTACACAGTAGATGATTTTACACAAAAATTTACTTAACTACCTGTAAATAACTATCTAGCTTCAAAATCATACTGAGTTTCCGCTCAGAAGAATTATTACCCTATGTCATACTAGCTAACATAATTCCCAATCAAAATGTTCAATTAAAGTGTGGATGGTATGAACAATAAATTATGCATACATATAACTGTCCACCTCATCTTTAATTTCTCAGTTACATTCTGTGAACGTGTCAGATCAAAAAGCATAAAAACAAATCTTTTTTTAAAGTTTTCCTCTACATGATACTGGATATTTTCATAGTTGAAATCATGAGTTGGTTGCCGGCTCAGTGCTCTGGCGCGAGACTAGTAGTTCATGGGTTCGAATCTCGAGAGTGCTGGATCGTGGATGCGCACTGCTGAGGAGTCTCACAGTAGGACGAAACGGCCGTTCAGTGCTTCCAGATTTTCCATGGGGGTGTAGCTTCAATTGACTCATAATTTCAACTATGAAAATACTAAATCTCCACAAAAACCCCTTCTCATATTGATTATCTACCACTAGGCTTGATACAACTGAGGTACTTTCATTCCAGATAATACCATTTCGTATTTATTGGATACACTTTCTATGACTTTTCTGTGTGTAAGCTTAATAAATAAATATATTATAAGCAGACGAATTGATATACACCATACATTTTTTCAGTTTGAAACGGCTGGTCAACCCATCTCAAGATGCTCAACGTCGTAAAGAGAATTGTTTGAATATATGGATTCAAGAAGCAAAAGGATTACCTATGAAAAATAGGTAAGTAATACTTAGTGTTAACTAACACTAAAACACAATCACTTTGTTTGTTTTTAAAAAAATATAAGACACGACGTTTATGAACGAATATTGTAAAACTTAAATCCAGCAATACCGATCTAATCACGATCTCACAATCAAGTCGGTTAAAAGTTCGAACTCATGCTACGGACGTTGATTTTTTGAATTTAACAGGATTATTAACTATCCATTGAATTTAATTAGTAAAAATAAGAGTGATTATTGATTTACATTCATTCGTGAACAATTAAGTTAAAATTCATTTGTTTTACAGGCTTAGTGGCTCTAGGATTAAATTGCAACTTTTATTTCACTAATGAATATCTCAAGTGTTTTATCTGTAGTGGTATAATAAACACCCACGGTCTTGACCTGGGTTCGAATCCCGGCCGGCGCACGACTTCGCCCCCCCAAATGTCCTGGTGCTGCCGAAGGTGGGAAGAGTTAGCTCTTACATGGCCACACGTATGCAGCCACTAACAGAGAGGTTCTACTCACGGCCTTCTCGCGCCATGAGTGTTGTTTACGAAATTGAGAGAATGAAAAGCGAGTGTCTGGCGCTTTAATCGGGTGGTGGATATGCAGGATCGACCCATCTAGGCGAGTTGAAAAACTCTGATTCCAAATCAATGGTGTACATTGGATCCAGTATCTTGAGAAAACCAATGGCATATGAATCAATTATTGGTCACCGACTATCATGTGACTGCATCTCCTGATGTTGCTCCACTACCTTATGGATCAGAGCTTTAGGTCAAAGGCTTCGAGTGTGACCCTCTAAGAAAACCACTTATTTCGATCTGTTCACCTGGGCAGTATCACAGCCCAGATACAAATGAAATGAGTTATGTGGCTCATATTTATTTGGTGCCCCCCCGTGTACCAATATTTGTGTTCAAATAAATAAATAAATAAATACCAAAGTGAAACTATCATCATACTCAAAATTGAGATTAATCAATGAGTCTTAAATAGAGAGAGGAGATAGTCGTCTCTATTTTTGTATTGATTCCAAAAAACTCAATCAAAAACACTTGAATTTTTTAATACAAACAATAAAAGTGGCTTCTCAGATGGTGGAAGAAATAGTTTAGAGATACAAAACGGGATACTTTAATGCCAAAAAGAAGCTCATTCAACATGTCAATCAGTAGTTAGTAGTAAATATCTGACGACAACGTTTCACCACATCATTAATAGAGTAGAACTTCCTATACTATATCCTTATATACAACCTATCTTTTATATACTACCATCACTAAATTAACTATTTATATGAATCCGGTGTTCCTCTTGTTGTGCTAACGATGCATAAATGTGTCTGGTCCTACGTTGTAGCTGACTGACTGAGAACTTTTGAAGTTTCATGAACATTTTAATTTGTTTTACTTTTTTCATCATTCAATCCTTTCTTCACTAAGATATTATTGTACAATTTTGGTAAATGGTACAATCTGTGCACGTACAACAATTAAACAGATGACAGATATGTTGTTCTGGGGTGAAGAGTTTGATTTAAGGTGAGTTAAATAGTTATTGTCTTCAATTTAGGACAAATTTTTACTTTTTCTAGTTTTGAAATTTTTTCATTCTAAATATGTTCATTAATCTAGAATGGTTAGAGCTATTATGGCCCATTGAGGTTTAATGCATTATACTTAATCATTGTTGTGTGTTACTCTTGGTAGAAAAAGTAATCTCATATTTGTCGGAATAGTTTGATTAGTCTGATATTGGTCTAGTGTACGAGAGTTATTCAATCATAAAAATTTACGTATTATACGACAAGATGAAATAGTTTTAATCTCTGATGACCGTCAGTTTTCTTAGCCGTTCTGAAACGTGTAACTTACAGGTGCTACCTAAATTTCTGTCAAAAGGGAAAGGTGTTTGAGCACTATCAACTACAACATCATCGCGCAATGTTATGTGATATAGGAGTATGTTAGAAGAAGGCTATGGCCGTCCAAACTGTAACGTGGTTTCAGTCCATGAAATTATTGATTGTTGATTTGAGCCATGTTAGTAAATGTAGACTATTTTTTCGAGGTCAGTACAATAACCGTGATTAATGGTTGGAGATGTTGAATGAAATGGCTCCGAATCGGACAAGAATGCAGATGCACTCGTCATTTGTTCTCCTGTCGGTTTTGAATTCCAATATCCCTTCATAGATATCTTTTCATTCTGTCTTTTTAAACCATGCTCTCAGTGTTCAGTCAGTCTTATTATTATTACTATTACATTATTCAGTCAGACACAACGTAGAACTTCGTACGTACGTACATCAGTTCGAGTTGCCATACCACATCAGCACAGAGATCCAATTGTCAAATCCCATAGTGATAGAAGTAGTGAGAGTATAATCAGTAATCGGAAAGATTAGGGGTTGAAGATGCTATTCAAGGATTATAATACAGTGAAATAAATTTGGAAAAAGAAAAAGATAGAGACATGAAGAATTCAGAAGATTAGAATTTGGGAGAACACAAAGAGCGGATGTACCTTCACCATTGCAAACGATTTTGAGCCATGTCATTCAACGTCTCTAACCATCGATTGCTATCATCCCGCGAATCCCAACCAGGTAGTCCACACCTACCAGCATGACTCAGTCGATTTGTCAGTGACTTCATGGATTTGTGCGACGTTTTGATCTGGTCGCCCCTAGCTTTCTTCCAACCTACTCTTACATCATAAAACATCACACGTCGGGGCAGCAATCGATTGAATATAACTTACATTGTATTTCTGTGTGACAACGTTGTCAATGAAGCTTGAACAAAATATTAATTTCAAAATTTTAAATAATATACTGACAAATCATTATAGATATGCACATTTTCAATCAAGAATCGTGGATGTGCACTGTTGAGGAGTAGTCCCACAATAGGACGAAACAGCCGTCCAGTACTTCCAAGTTTTCCATGATGGTCTAGCTTCAATTGACTCATGATTTCAACTATTAAAATTATTTTGTTGTTTTTCGTATAATGATAATGCAGACTAAGGACACTGTCCTGATAGATATTTTAAGTATGTAAAACAAAAAGATTCATGATTTCATTAATGGTAGACAATTTAGTGTGGAACCCAAACGAATCAACCGGAATTGAAGTAGAAAAGGTTTTATATTTTGTGATTATTATATTAACATGTAGAGATGTGTGTTAATGCTCTCATCACATATTTAACCTCTTTAATAAATTAACCTGTTGAAGTCATTGTGTTCACCATGAAACACATGACTTTATTATTAAGTAGTTATTATTACTGATCAGTTTCTAGTTGACCAAACAGTGATTGAAATAATTAATTAATATACGTGCATTCGTTTATTATGACCCTTTTAATAATAGTAGCCAAATGGTAGTTACATGTAATCCTGAAGGAAGGACTTGACACGCATGACATTGTTCACCACCCAGTGATTAATCAATCGGGATTAAATCTCAGTCCTACATGAGGTTGGTCGCGGTCCGAATAGCTCAGTGGTAACGTCTCTGACTGTGAAGCTGAGTGATACGGAATCAAATCCGTCAGGAAGCACCAGTTCCCTCAAGATTACAGGTACACCTAGCTGACGTGTGCCAAGTAGCACGAAACCCGGGTCCAGAGTTTCCTGTTGACCACCTCCAACCACCATCTTATCTCAACTAGTTACATGTAGTTATTTCTCTTTGTATATGAGCTAGTGGCATTAACTGACTATTCGAACTGATCTATGTGGAGTAGGATTCCAACCTGTCAATTGTAAATCAATAATAGTCGGGTCACTTCAACCATTAAGACAAGAATTGTCCTGATTTTTTTCCCAGTCAAAGAATTTTTTATCATTGTCTGGTCATACTCAAATGAAAAACTAAGTATTCTGTTTGCTTTATCAATAACTAATTTAAAGTTAGATTAGATAACGCCACGATATCGGAGTTAGTTACTGCATTTCGTGTCATGGATAAAATATGTAACCAAAAAGCATGCATCAGACTTGATCTGTTGAACTAATTATAAAGATTATCGTTATTATCACTTCCGAATAGTCATTTTTATAACCTCGCTGATTTTCATTTGATATTGACAAATGGTTTCTTTTAGCGGTCTCTCGAATTGCTCAGATCTAACAATCGAGATATGGAAAGTATGTGATACCAAAGCTAGTTCTCCATCTCATCGTCATCTAACTGCTTCTCCACATCGATTAACAACATCGAATCTTCGTCAACAGACAAATACAAGTCCTCCAATGCGTAAGGTAATGATGACTTGTACAAAAGCTGCAGATGATGGATCAGTTTCACCTCCTGACTTTACAGCATTGCGTAATTCTGTCATTCTGGATGATTTATCAACTACGTGTACAAATAATGATGAAGTGACTTCAAGACAAAAGCGTCGTAAATTTAAATCATCAAAAATGGCTAATCCATCTCTCGTAGGTTAGTTTCTCAGTTGTTAGTCTTCGCTTATTCCTACTGTGGATTATTTTGAATTTTATTTACGAACCACTTATCCCTTGCGATTTGATGTGGTATTGTTTAAACAAGAAATTAACTTATATACCTCTAATCAGCATAATTATTGACGAATGTCATCCATACTGGTGATAGAATCTATTTTCGTGATCACACATTTAAGCTTAGATATTACTACGTAACTATTAAAACGACGCTTCAGTTAAAGTTTATAGGTTTTAAAACAGCACATAATGATATAATTGGTAAATTATATAGGGTCTAAAATGAAATGTATGTACCAGTCTATGTTTATATATCCCACATCGGGTCATTGATCAAAACAGTAGTGAAAGAGTAAAACCAATGTAATCAAGACAATGGAAAGAATAAGGATAAATGCAAGTTAAAAATAAAGCATATAGAATCACGAGATGTTTGATATTTCAAGGAAGGAATAAACAATGAATGGATCCAGACACTTTCGACCAATTGTGTTAAAACATTGTTTGAAATCTTTTTCTGTTTGTTTTAGTTTTGTGGTAGATTATAAATACTGTCGACCATTTTATAATCTACCCCTTATGGGGTAAAGTAAAACCATTATTCTAGTATTGTTTGTTTGAATCTTCCCATTGATGTTTTAGGACGGCAACTGGTCAGTCTCTCATTGGCATATGTGCATACTGTGCATATCGCCTCGCGCGTCCTGGATTCTACTGCTAGCCACTATTCATCTTTGCTTACCATGCTTGTGAATTTAGGCTATATCGAGGCAATACGCACAGTATGCACATATGCCAATTAGAGACTGACCACTTGCAGTCCTAACACATCGATGGGAAGATTCAAAGAAACAATACTAAGTGAATTTAAACTTCACCCCATTGCATAAGCAAGTGACTATCAGGACTCAGTGACCGAGTGGATAACGCGATGGCGTGTGAAGCGAAAGTTACTGGGTTGGAGTCCCAGAGTGAACATTAACTCTGAGATGCAGGTAGATTATTCATGTATTTACGCCAATATTATTAATCCTTCAGAGGTTTCACTACACACCAGCAATGTTATGAAGATATCACTGAAATCGCTTTAGTTGTCAAAAGTTAAAGTGTCTTTTGAATCTTTATCGAAGTACCATCGATCACCAATCTCATCAGGATTAATATGACATACTTGACAACTCTACACTTCCCTGTCACAAATTTCTTATGATCATTGTATGTGATGAAAATCCATGTGCAAGTTTTAATTCATTTCAAAATAAACACCGCATATATTAAGTGAAAATAGTCTGTAGAGATACATATGTACGTTTAAAATATGGTGAAGATTTGGTCACGGTGGCTTCATGTATTGACTATAGCTGGATGAAATTTGAGTAATATAATTATTAAAAATAAATGTCAGTCAGGGTTAGTGTTATATCTAGAGCCTTGATTCTTGTTATGCTGCGTACTACTAGACTACTTGAACGATCGAACCCGCAACGTCGCAAAGGAGAAGATAGAAGATTAGTAAGTAGGAACTTTATTCCCCGAAACAATGTCAAAATACGATACAGAAATCTCATGTATTTATAGTTTTTGATTGATAGTAAATCATCATTTCAGACAAACAATAAGCACATAGGGGGTCATTCGTATCCATCCAATGGGGAAGCTACACGTCGACATTCCCCTAGCAATGATTGAATGGAATGTCTTCGGCTCTTTCTGGCCTTCTTGAGGCTTCCTAGAGTTTACCAACGAGCCATCCTTACAGTTAGATTTGGTTAAAAGCATAATAGAGAATTGTGTTCTGTTCATAAGAAAACTTTTCTTGAGACGATAGCAGGAGGTGGCAGAGTATTTTTTTTAACCTCAAGAAATGTTGCATTGATTTGACTTCATAAATAGAATAACTTAGCTGTGATAAATATGATTTTTTTTATAAATATTATCACTTTAGCAACAGTCAATATTTCTTTATCGGATATTTCTAATTGTGGTGAAGTGGAAAGTTGGTATACTCCAAATTTAAATGACTCAATGACTCAATCATCTGGTCAATTGAAACAATCAGATAATAAAAACTCCGGTGAATCCAATGTAAATAAAACCAAATCCAAAGGACGACGATCTAATCGTCATGAGATCAATTTGAATTCAATACAGATTCGTGTGAAAATTCGTTATCGTGCTTTAACTGTTTTACCATTAACAAGTTATGCTCGTTTAGAAAACAATCTATGCCAATTTCAACTACCTAAAACGATAACACACACAAATGGCACGGATAAGTTAAATAGTTTCAAATTTGATCCCAATCCTTCATTTAATACATCGAGTAAACCTGATCTAATCCAATTATTGTCCAGCTTAGATCCATGGTTAAATGTTAAAGCTAAGGCTGAATTAGCCGGTGCTATGGTTGTTTTACAACAGGCTCGTGGACAAGTAACTGGATTCTTAGCCAGTCTTATATTATGTGAAGTCAAAAAACAAAGTAGGTTCATCTCTAGTGTTTTTTTCGTTTTCGTTATAATATCCTGATTTTTATAATTCAGTTCATTAAGTTGATATTTTTGTTAACCCTAAAGTCTGGTTGGGATCCGCGAGATGATAGCAATCTATGGTTAGAGACCTTGGATGATGACATGGCTCAAAATCGTTTGCGATGGCGTAGGTGCATCCACTCTTTATGTTCTACCAAATTCTAATCTTCCGAATTCTTCATGTCCCTTTCTTTTTTCTCTTTTCAAATTTATGCCACTGGATTATACTCCTTGAATAACATCTTCAATTCCTAATCTTTCGGATGACTGATTATTCTCTCACTACTTCCATCACTATGGGATTTGAATCGACAACTGCATCTTTGAATCAATGTGGTATGGCAACTCAAACTGACTTACGTACGTACGAAGTTCTACGTTTTGTCTGACTGACTGAACCCTAAAGTCTATTGATCTAAAAGTTCAACCAAATTACATTTAACTGTTTGACTTGACTTCGTTGCTCATTGTATTCTTTCATTACGATTGACTTTAAGAACTTCCACTTGTTACCATTTATTAATAGACACAATATTTACAACTTACATAGAAATTACAGGTTTTTAAGGATCTTATTCATTGCTATTCGTCTTTGTAGCTCTTGAGTTTATTAAATAGTTATTTCGGTCACTGTACTATTATTCATGCCACTTTTTCTAACTATATGTTTATATAACTTGAGTTTCTATATTTAATTTTAAGTTTAGAACCCGCTTCTTGAGGCCCATAGACCCACTGCATGAATGTGATTTTGTGCGGAAGTCATTGTTACCTCCGGGTCTTGGCACGCGGGCGCCGTACTAGGTCAAGTATAGTCTACAGGTATACTGGTAACAAGTTTTCACTCTTGTATCCCATAACATACATATAGGTATGTTCATCCCTCTGGAGGGTAGATGGTCACCGTTTCCTCTGAAAGTATTCGCTAAAACAAAGTGTCTTGTGTATCACATCCATACCACTGGTACAAAAACGTTCGTCCGTGTACTTCATGACATACACATAAGCATAAGCACTCAGGGAGAGTTGTTGGTTATCTTCCCGTAGTATTTGCTACCATATGTTTTTATTATGTCTTTGACCTAATGGTTTAGGTCGTTGATTTTACCAGACTTAGTACAGCTTACGTTTCTTTCGCGAGCCTGGCGCGTACCTATTTACACACACCTACATACACTATTAAACAAGCCGAGACTCATGCGATTCATATACATAAGCATGCACATCGGGCAACTCGTCACGATTTTAAGGCCTTGAAGAGTGAACTTCGAGCAATCAATGTTCAGATTAGGAGTTATGAATTAGTCTTACCTCCATCGAACGCCCAAGGTAGTTAGCAAGCGATGAAGAGGCCTTAAGTCAGATTTTGCTGCCAACAGCATTGGTACATTTCCTCTTTGCATTAAAATATTTCTATATAGTAAATATTTTATAATTATTCAGCTTTCTGTGTTTTTAAAATAACCACTTGTTCTCGATGAATTATTTCGTGGATTACTCTCAGTTTCTGATTAATTCGAATCAATGGCAATGACTTAAAAAAAATACAAGTATACACATACTTTGCGTCACATTTACGAAAGTCCTGATCAAATTATGGGAAGAAATCGTAGTTAATTAGTGCAAACAAGGCTATAAATATGAGATCATTGTGATCGTATAGTTGACCATATATCAAGTATATATACATGTTATAAAAGAAAGAAGTGAAAAATGCATGGATACAGTGAGTTTCCACAAATGAAATGTTAGTATCATTGGTTATATAAAGTCAAAAACTAAAATAGAACTTACTAATGAAGTCCCGACCGTTGCTGCTACCTTGACGTAGTGGTCGGGTTTGCCTATCGTGATGATCCAATCGAGCTATGCTGGCTGGAACAATCGTTCCTCAAGGTCCTACCATGCCAGACAGGTCGGTTGAAGAGCGGTGAGACTAAAAGCAGCAATCCCAAGGTCCGGAGGCGAAGTCGTACTGCTGACTGTACAGAGGTGTGAAAGCAGTAAGGTGTTTCCTTCAGACAACCAGCATGACAGCGATGCTGCCTTCCCACAAGGAGGGGTGGGGTTAGAAAAGGTCGACCCTAAAAATGCACACCTCGCCTTATCCCAAGGATATCCGTCTCCGGCGGTAAGGTTTTTTTTGAAGAACGGAGCTAACACAAAAAGGTCGTGTGTGACCGACCTCAAGCAGTTGTCCCTTGGGCACTGCGGTCACGCTTTCAGGTCATTAAGACCACATCTAACCCAATTTCCTTTTCAGGTACCTCTAGAAGAACCCTTCCACGGTGTGGGCAACCGGGAAGTGATAACTGCCCTCATACCTCTAACAGCACTCAAAACCTCTGTATTCATTATCAATCTCCTTCTTCAATTCCTACTATTCCCTCTACCTTGACTTTTAACACTAAACTTCCTCTCTCGGTTTCCTCCTCAAGTGTCACCATGGCCAACGATTCTAGTGCGCGAAACGCTGTCCCAGGTCTACTAAAACCTCGCTCCAAACTACACATTGGAGCCTTCAACGTACGTACCCTATGCCAAATCGGTCAACAGGCCTCCTTTGCTAAAACCCTAGAATCTCGTACCATTGATGTATGCTGTGTCTCCGAAACACACATACAGGATCCCAGTGTGGTCATTCACTTGACCTCACCTCGCCAAAATGGACAGCCAACGAAATACACCCTCCGTGTATCTGGCGACCCGTTGGCTAGTTCTCGCGGACTTGCAGGTGTAGGCATAGCACTAAGTACAAGGGCAGAACAGGCACTATTAGAATGGATCCCCGTTAACAGTCGCCTGTGTGCCGTCCGGCTAAATGGCTCCGTAAGAACTCGGAAGGATAGGGACACACGTCGTTGCCTTTTCGTCGTTTCTGCCTACGCTCCCACCGACTGCAGCCATGATGAAGTGAAAGATGACTTTTACAGAAAGCTCTCTGAGCTTCTTCAGAAAGCTAAGCGCTCAGACATAGTAGCCGTAGCGGGTGACTTTAATGCCCAGGTAGGCAGCTTAAATCAAACAGAAAGACATTTAGGTGGGTGTTTTAGTATTCCGGCTCAACGAACCGATAATGGTGATCGTCTGTTGCAACTATGCTCAGACAATCGTTTATTTCTAGCAAGCACTAATTTTAAGCATAAAGAGAGACATCGTCTAACATGGCGACCACCTGCACCAAACCAACGATGGACTCAAATAGACCATATTGTCATCAGTCATCGTTGGAGAGGCTCAATAGAAGATTGTCGCTCGTATTGGAATACTTGTTTAGACTCTGATCACGCTTTAATACGAGCGCGCATTTGTCTGCGCCTCAATGGACGCAGGAAAAGTACACTAAGAAGACCCGTTAGGATTGAACTGGAGGACGAGAAAGCCAAATGCGAATTCCAGAAACAGCTGAGTTCACATCTAGGCCGTTCTGTAAACAAGACTGACCCAGATACTGCTTGGAAAGACATACGAACAGCTGTGGAAACAGCAGTAACATCTATTAGTCATTTCAACCATAGGGCTCCAAAAAACCAATGGATTTCTTCTAAGTCTATTTCACTGATGGATTCGCGTAAACTCATCCCATAAGGCTCTGAACATGACGAAGAGCGTAAAGAAATTAGATCTAGGTTAACTAAAAGTCTAAGGAACGATCGTGAGCAGTGGTGGGCAACGAAAGCAAAAGAGATGGAAAAAGCAGCGGCTGTATGGAACACCAGGCAACTATTCAGACTAATAAAAGAAACCGGAACTAAGAAATCAAATGTAAGTGAGACAATCTCCGAAAAAGACGGAACCCTTATCTGCTCTCAACCCAAACGTTTAGAACGATGGGCGGAACACTTTAAGGAGCAGTTTAGCTGGTCTTCAGCTACTGCACAACTACCCACTATTCCTAGAAAACCTGAATGGAACATTGAAGTAGGCCCCCCGACCCTACTTGAAGTTCAAAAAGCTATAAGTAATCTGAAACGAGGAAGAGCAGCTGGTCCTGATGGATTGGTTCCAGAGGTCTTTAAATATGGTGGTCCAATTTTAGCGATTAGGTTGACTAATATTCTGGCTAAAATCTGGGAGACGGATGTAATCCCTTCCGACCGGTCACAATCACTGATTGTCCCAATATATAAGAAGGGGTCAAAATCATCCTGCGATAACCATAGAGGGATTAGTCTGACTAACATAGTATCTAAAATACTAGCCTCAATAATTATCGGGCGCCTAACTAAGACTCGTGAACTGCAAACACGAGAAAATCAGGCCGGCTTCAGACCTGGTCGTGGCTGTATCGACCACATATTCACCATTCGTCAAGTTTTAGAGCACGGACATGCTTATCGGCGTTCGACAATGATAGTTTTTCTTGACTTGAAAGCAGCATTTGACTCTGTAGACCGAGAGGTTCTGTGGCAGTGTCTGTCATTGAAAGGCTGTCCACTATCCCCATTTTTGTTTAACTTCATTATAGACCTGTTGCTGGAAATAACACTCTCGTCGACTGAATTTACAAGAATTGATCTCCTACCAGGGGGACCACTAAGCGACTTATTTATTTATTTATTTATTTAAACACATATATATTGGTACAAAAGGGCACCAGGTACATATGCGCCACACAAAATAATGAAAGTAGGTAGATAAAGGATGAAAAGATAAGGCGGGCTAAAATGTACAACCAGAAGATTCTTTCAGTTAGGAAAGTTAGAACCATTCTTTATGTAGAAAGTAAAAGAAGGTTGCAGCAGGATCGCCACTGGCTTCTATTCTGAGCCATATCTGATAACGTCTCTAGCCACTGTGTTGCACCATCTCTCGGACCCCAACCAGGGAGTCGTGAAGGACCAACAGAAGCTAGCCCTTTGCAGCTCTCTTTCATGCCACGACACCATGTCATACACTGACCTCCTCTCCGCTTTCTCCAACCAGTCCCAGGGTCGGCAAATAATGCACGACGCGGAAGTCTCTGGGACGACATTCGTAAAACATGTCCGAGCCACCGAAGTCGGTGTTTCAAGATGGTGACACCAATTGAATTATCGTCTCTGCGCCCGAACACACGATGCCGAACCTCTGCATTACTAACATGGTGTTGCCACTGGATGTCAGCAATGATTCGGAGACAACGATGATCGAACACAGAGAGACGTCTAACATCCTCAACTCGGAGAGGCCAGGTTTCACAAGCATAGAGCAAAACTGCTCTCACCGACGCGTTGTAGATCCGACCTTTTACAGCCAGACTAACATCACGAAGGCGCCAAAGATGGCCCAGATTGGCATAAGCCGCTCTGGTTTTCATTATACGTGCATCAATCTCATCACTCACGCCACCACCAGCACTTATATAGCTACCTAGATACACGAACTTCTCAACTACTTCGATCTCCTCACCATCCAGGGTGAGTACAGGATGAGAATCCTGCCAGTCTTGTAGAAGTACTTTGCACTTGGAGGGTGCAAAGCACATGCCGTACCTGCGGACACTGATTGCCAACTGATTAAGTGCTGATTGCATGCCTTGGGCATTATCGCACAGTAAGACAATATCATCCGCATACTCAAGGTCGAGAAGTCGTTCTCCAGGCAACATATCCACACCGCCATTACTTACATCCATCAGAGCTGTTTCCAGGATGTCGTCGATGGCAAAGTTGAAGAGGAATGGGGAGATCGGGCAACCCTGCCTAACCCCACTGCTCGAATGGAACAAGGGAGAAAGGTGGTTGTATGCCCTCACTCTGCCTGAGGTGTTCGTATACAGGGCCTTTAAGATGTTAATGAACTTCTCAGGCACACCCTTCTTCAATAGACAATCCCAGAGAACAGTCCTGTCCAACGAATCGAAGGCAGCCCTGATATCAAGAAACACTACGATTGTTGGCCTGCGATAAGTATGACGGTGTTCTAACGACTTAGAATACGCAGATGACATAGTCCTGTTTGGTGAAGACGCTGGCAAAATGCAGAGTCTTCTGTTGGAACTCAGTAATAATGCCAGGATGTTTGGGATACGTTTCTCCCCATCCAAATGTAAATTGTTACTCCAGGACTGGCCTGCGTCGACACCCGAACTAAGGATAGGGAGTGAAGTAGTCGAACGCGTCGACAACTTCACTTATCTTGGAAGTCTGATCAGCCCTAATGGGTTGGTGTCTGACGAAATCTCAGCACGGATTCAAAAAGCTCATTTGGCTTTTGCCAACTTACGTCACCTATGGCGAAGACGAGATATCCGTCTATCAATTAAGGGACGAGTATACTGCGCATCAGTTCGCTCTGTTCTACTTTATGGCTGTGAAACATGGCCATTAAGAGTAGAAGATACTCGTAGGCTACTAGTATTTGACCACAGATGCCTTAGAAATATTGCTCGCATCTGCTGGGATAACCGGGTAAGTAATAGTGAGGTTAGACGCAGGGTATTAGGGAACGATGGTAAATCAGTTGATATGGTGATGAATCTTCATCGACTGAGATGGTTGGGCCAGGTGTTACGTATGCCTGAACACCGATTACCACGACGCGCTATGATGACTAGTGTAGGGGATTGTTGGAAGAGAGTTAGGGGCGGCCAAACCAAAATGTGGCATCAGTGTTTAAAGTCACTAACTTCCAGTCTGAGCCATGTTGGCAGATGCAGACTACCTGGTCGGGGTCCGCGTGATTATCGTAACCATTGGTTGGAGACTGTGTGACACGGCTGAGAATCGATCACACTGGCGTCAGTGTATACACTCTTTATCTTCCCTTAAACCTTGAGATTAAAATTGCTTCATAACGTTCTTACTTCCTATACTATATCGTTATATACAACATTTCTTTATATACTACCACCACTAAATTAATTACTTCTATGAATTCTGTGTTGATCTTGTTGTGCTAACGAGGTATGGCAACTTGGACCGATGCATATATGTGCCTGGTCCTACGTTGTAGCTGACTGACTGACTAATGAAGTCGAATGAGTGAAGCGTCGATAAAAACAAAAGGAAGGGAAGTAATTTATAATTGTATGTATACAACTAGGAATAAGTGATTTCATATTATTTATTGTCTACATTTGTCGTAGATTGATCTCACTTCGGTACCATTGGGTCTAGTAATAACTGGCCAAGTTTTTCGTCCTAATATGGGTATCCTCAGTAGTGCTTCACCCGTGATCTGTCTTCTAGGGATTGAAACTGAGACCTACAAATCTTGTGTCTAGCACTCAACTCTCTGATCACTGAGTTAGAATCCATTTGTGTGGATTTCTAACGTCGATCAGTTTTATGACATAATGCCAACTCTTTCACTACTAACTTGTTTAGATTCCACCAGTCACGAATCGTCACTAGAACTTCGAGAATACTTTGAAGTGAATAGCAGTAAGTTGAATGTTATTGTTCCGCCAAAATCTTTACCCTTTGTTTACCAAAACGTGTAAAACACTTGTACTGACATTAGCAGCTAGTGAAATAACATTATCAAATGTGTGATCACCACATGGGATCAGTACCTGTATTCATCTAACTGATAAACCCCTATACCCCCAAATGCCCTGGTACGGCCGAGAGTGGGGAGAGTCACCTCTCCCTCTCGAAATACTCTCATATGGCCAGCGAATATATAGCCTCTGCCAGGGAAGTCCTACTCACTGCCTTCTCGTGGCGGTGGCGTTGTTTACGAAGTTGAGAGGACGAAAAGCGATTGTCCGGCGCTTTAACCGGGTTGGTGGACATGGGGGGTCCACCTAGGGGAGTTGGAAAACCCTGATTCCAAACCAGTGGTGCACATGGGCTCCAGTATCCTGATGGAACGAATGGCGGACGAACCTGTCATTGGTCAACGGCTACCATGGGACCGCATCTCCTCACGATGCTCCACTGCCTTGTGGATCAGACATTCAGGTCAAAGGCTCTGTGTGTGGCCCCCTAAGAAAACCACCTGCTTCAGTCTGGGCACCTGGGCAGTATCACAGCCCTCACACAAATCGAATGAGATTTGTGAGGCGCATATTTATCTGGTGCTTCATTGTACCAATATTTATGTGTTTAAATAAATAAAATAAATAAAAATACCAGTTTTTATGTTAGTTATTACTGAATCGTTGTTCTACAGTGTCATCACTTTTTCATTATACTATTTTAGTGTATTTTCAGTTTTTATTTCAATCTTATCATCTTTTCATTATTCAAGGTGATCCAAATATGGTTTTACGTGCTAATAGTATAGCAACTAAAGCAACAGAAATTTATCTACGTCTTGTTGGTGGTTCATATTTATCAAATATTTTATCTGATTTTGTTCAAATTGTTATTAGTGGTCGACCAGTTGATCCACAATTAAAAACATCTAATCGTTATCCAATTGATTATGAAGTTGATATAGCTAAAGTGCAAACATCGGCACAATTAGCACAAAATCAAGTTAATCTATTAGGTTTAGTTGAAACTGTATGGAAACGAATTCTATCAAGTGAAGTTGAATTTCCAGAGTAAATATTCTTTTTCAAATCATTTAAATTTGATGTAATCATAATGTCTTTTATTTAATTCATTGTGTATGAATTCCAGTTAGTGAATCAGTTCATGATTAGCTATTATAAGCCTTTATATATATTGTTCCTTCTTTTGGTATTTATCTATTTGTTTATTTAATGATGAGTGTCGATCTTTACACTGAGTATCAAATACTCGTTTATCTTACATATGACCGTTGCTGCTACCTTGATGTGGTGGTCGGGCTTGTCTATCGTGACGAACCAATCAAGCTATACTGTCTGGAACAATCGTTCCTCAAGGTCCTACCATCCAGGTCAGGTCGGTTGAACAACAGTGAGATTAAAGCAGCAAACCCAACGTCCGAAGGCGAAGTCGTATTGCTGACTGTACAGAGGTGTGACAGAAGTAAGGTGTTTCCTTCAGACAACCAACATAACAGCGATGCTGCCTTCCCACAAGGAGAGGTGGGCTTAGAAAAGGTCGACCCTAAAAATGCACACCTCGCCTTATCCTAAGGATATCCGTCTCCGGCGGTAAGGTTTTTTGAAGAACGGAGCTAACACAAAAACTACCCACAAAAAGGTCGTGTGTGACCGACCTCAAGCAGTTGTCTCTTGGTCATTGCGGTCACGCTCTCAGGTCATTAAGACCACTTCTAACCCAATTTCTTTTTCAGGTACCTCTAGAAGAACCCTTCCATAGTGTGGGTAACCGGGAAGTGATAACTGCCCTCATACCTCTAACAGCACTCAAGACCACTGACTTACATATGTTAAACTTCAGATTTATAATAAACACCTTTTGCATTATATATATTCGTCTGGGAATCGAATCGGTGTATAACAATTGTCATTACCGAGGTGCTTATTTTATGGACTAACTTTTAACACCTATTAGTCATTACGATTGAGGCAAACCAATAATGATATCATAATCATCATTAGTAAGACAACTAAGTCATTGAAAAGCATTTTTCAGTTATTAATTAGCGGATGCGTGGATTGAAGTGCTCATCTTCAGTAGAGAGTTATCAGTTCAGAAAATCACCATGAATTTCAGAATGAAAATATATAGTCATGTAACAAAATGTCTGAATTATCTGTTGGATCAAATAATTTATTTAAACACAAATATTGATACAAGGAAGCATTAGATACATATGCGCCACACAAATCTGATTTGATGTATGTGAGGGCTGTGATACTGAAGCAGGTGGTTTTCTTAGGGAACCATACCCCGAGCCTTTGACCTAATGGGCTAATCTACAAGGTATTGGAGCATCGTGAGGAGATGCAGTTCCATGTTAGCCGGTGGCCGACGATTGATTCATACACCATGTGTTTCTTCAGGATACTGAATCCCATGAACATCATTGGCTTGGAATCAGGGTGTTCAAACTCCCCTATGTGGACTCGCCGTGTTCACCAACCCGGTTAAAGCTCTGGACATTCGCTTTTCGTCCTCTCAATTTCGTAAACAACAGTAATGCCACGAGAAGGCAATGAGTAGGACTTCCCTGGTAGAGGCTATATATGCATAGCCATGTGAGCGTTTCGAGAGGGATAGCGGACTCTCCCCACTTTCGGCCGTACCAGGGCATTCGGGGGTGGATTTATCTTAGGTCAGTTTATAAACTAAATTATTTGTTAATTGCTCTTACTGCCTCGAACTAACGTTATATCCTCACATCAATAGGATTAGATTATTTTTGTATAAAAGTGATCTATGCATTGTGTTTTAATTCATTTACCAAATACAGACTTAGCCAATCTACTTTGATAGTTTACTATCTGTCTGATGACTAGTATATACACTACGCGACTAACCAAACCAGTGATTTACTTGCTGAATGTTCTTAAGCTCACTACTTTATATATTATTCCATATGTAAAAGATTATTTTGTCATGTTTAATGTTTCTACAGGCAATTTAGAGCGTTATTTGTAGAGATTCGACGTTATCTAGAGAATGGTTTAAAAAGTAATAATTCATCAATGAATAATATTCATAATAAACATTATGATGGATTAAATTCTTCTAATTCTACAATGAATGATGGTACACTATGTGAACATGTAATATCAGCTTGTCTATTTCTACGTTATATATGTCCAGCTATATTATCACCTTCATTATTTAATTTAATTTATGAATTTCCTAGTGAACCACGTATATTACGTGCATTCACTTTGGTAAGTGAAAAAAACAATTTTTTTTATTTTAAAAAATATAATTTATTTTCATATTTGAAATCATGAGTCCATTGAAGGTAGACCATCATGGTAAACCTGGAAGCATTGAACGGCCGTTTCGTCCTTTTGTGGGACTCCTGAGCAGTGCGCATCTGTTAAGTGCTCTTGTGCGAGACCGGTAGGTCCTGGGTTCGAATCTCGCGAGGCAGGATCGTGGATGCGCACTGCTGAGGAGTCTTACAATAGGACAAAACAGCCGTCCAGTAATTGCAGGTTTTCCATGGTGGTCTAGCTTCAATTGCCTCATGATTTCTAGTGTATATAAAAATTACGTAAAATCTCCACAGAAAACCCCCTTTTAGGCATTTTGTTTAAAAGCTTTGAATTTGTGTCACTTACTCCAAATGTGATAGTGAGGAAGTTTTGTAGCTCATGTAGATGATATTGATGAAGTTTTGTTCCTCGATCTAGGTGGTGTATTCATGAAATATTCATTGTTCTTCTGTACAACGTCAGCACAAACTTCAGGTAAAAGCGAGTTATTCAAATTTCTCGACATAGGACTAGCTTATCCTGTTGACCTTTAACCTGTCATTATTTGTATATTTATTTTGTTTGTCTCTCCCTTTGACCTGATTCTTAGTCCTGCATTTTTTCCGTGATTTTTCTAATTGGTTGGTAAATTGAGTTGATTTCGATGAGTATTGATTCCTATTAACTTGAGTGCCAAACTTCTAAAAATTATCTGATCTTTGTACAAAGACAGGTTAAAGGTCAACTTCTATACTAAACTATTTATTTGTATTATGAAAGCTATTTGTAAGCAAGATGAGTCTATAAACAAGGCATGTTTAGTTTCATGGGAATTGGAAAATTTTAATTGATCCTTGCTTTTCAGTTGATAAATATTCAGAAACTGAATACCATATAACTGAGATGGTGGAGATTTGTAGCTCAAGTGAATGATGTTAGGGGAGTTTTGTTGTCTGAGCACAAACTTCGAGTTTGTGCTGATGATGTCGTTTAGAAGAATAATGAAAACCTGTTATGCCTGAAACTAAATCGATTCCGCGGTAACGAACGAAAGCCAATGACACAATGACACGATAAGCTATTCTAATCTGTTGTCCCAGGCCCCGCTAACTAGATGAAGAAGTCCAAGGCAAGTAGGGGAATATATATGTATTCCGTAAGCAGCCGAGTACAAGCAATCAAATAAGGGAAAAAGTCAAGCGCATTTATACAGTAACAAATTGTCCTTGAGCACCATTAGTAAATAGCACACATAAAGAAACAAAGGACCAATAGCGGTTAAGATAGTTTACAGGTGGGAAATATGACGTGAAGGTAAAAGAGCGCTTTTGGCGCGAAAACAGCTAAATTCAAATTTTCAAAATAAAACTACAAGATTAGGCCATTTACCAAGTAAGTTCTGGGGATTTGACATCCCCAACACCTCCCCTTTTTAGTAACGGACATTCTTTGGGTCCACCTGCATTCTAACTGTCTGTCGCCGTTGGCGCAGTGACCATCTTCGGGACCGTAGATCGACCTTTTGATCTTCTTCATGCGTTGGGACTGCCGGCAGATTAAATGTATCCAATAGTACGTCCAGCGGAATCTTTACTTCGGTCGATGGGCACTCTGGTGTTAACCGCTTGCGTAGTTGATTTCGATGTCTGGTCCATCTGTCCGTTCCTACCTCAACCTCATACATGACTTCTCCCATCCGTCTAACCACACGTGCTTCGATCCAAGGGTCACGATTTGCTCTGTAGTCCCGAGCGAATACTGGGCATCCAACGTTGTACGTGGGTAGCTTCCGGGACGTGGTTTGTATTAGTGGTGGTGTGGATTTCGGCAGCATCAAGTTGTGAATGGTCCTCAGCCGTCTTCCCATGAGGATCTCTGCGGGGGACTTCTGCTCCGGCAGCGTGTCGTTGGGGGTCGTTCTGTAGGCAAATAAAAAATTCTGCAGTGTTTCCACTGGCGTCCCCTCCCCTTTTGACTTAATCAGAGCCCTCTTGAACGTATCCACGAACCTTTCCGCTTGCCCATTCGATTGTGGGTGGTAAGGTGGGGCGCGAAGATGCCTGATGGTTAGGCGTTTGCAGAACTCTTGGAACTGCGCCGAGGCGAACTGCGAACCGTTGTCGGATACAATCACTTCCGGTAATCCGTTTCGTGCGAACAACTCAGTCAAATGTTTCAGAGTCTGGGTGGTCGTTGGTGGAGTGACGGGAACAATCTCCGGCCATTTTGAGAAGGCGTCGACCACGACAAGATATGTGGTTCCGTTGACTGGACCGGCAAAGTCGATATGTATCCTAGACCAGGGATGCTCAGGCTGTGGCCATGGGACCGGCGGTACCTTCGCATTGGACTTTGCAGCTTGTTGACACTGAGCACATTTGTTTACTAGATCCACGATATGCTGGTCCATGAGGGGCCAGTAAGCATAGCTTCTGGCGATGGATTTCATACGCTTTATGCCTGGATGACCAATGTGGAATTGCTTCAGCACCCTCGGTCGTAGGGATTCTGGCACGACCACTCTATCTCCAAACATCAAGCATTCATTTACGACACATAATGAGTCACGACGATGGTAAAGCTGCTTCATGTCACCGTCAAGTTCAGTTGATGGCCAGCCATTGGTGACGTAGTTCATCGTTTTCTTAATGACGGGGTCGTTTCTGGAAGCAATTTGTATCTCAGATTCTAAGACTCGCAAAGCACGAACAGCGGTTGTCAGGTAGCATTGCGCGTGGTCTTCTGTCGAAAGAGAAGCGATAACGGCATCTTCATCGGTCGTAGAGTGTTCGTTGATGAGTCGTGACAATGCGTCTGCTTGACCAAATTGTTTGGTGCGTCGATACTGAATGTCAAAATCATACCCCAAGAGGATCAAAGCCCATCGTTGGAGACGGTTTGCAGAGTGGGCCGGGACGCCAGATTTCGAACCAAAAATTGCGAGAAGGGGCTTGTGATCCGTAAGGAGTGTGAACCTCCGACCGTACAAAAATTTGTGGAACCGCCGCACCGCAAACACCAGGGCGAGAGCCTCCTTCTCTATCTGACTATACTTCCTTTCTGCCGGGGTCAGTGTTCGGGATGCGTGCATGACAGCCTTCTCTGTTGCGTCTGGAAACTGATGAGAAATGACGGCTCCTACGCCATACGCTGAGGCATCTGCAGCTAAAATGATTGGCATGCATGGATCGTAGTGCGTTAATAACAATTTCGAGCTGATGATGGACTTCAGTTTACAGAATGCTGCGTCACACTCTTTAGTCCAGTTCCACGTACTGTTCTTGCTCAGTAGGCCATTCAGTGGGGCACGAATGTCATGCATTGAAGGGACGAACGCGGCATAGTAAGAGACCAGTCCCATGAAGGAACGCAGTGCGGAGATATTCGTGGGTGTGGGCATCTGTCGTATCGCTTGGACATTTTCAGGATCCGGTCTGCGGCCGTCAGCATCAAAAATAAACCCCAAATACTTTACGGACCGTAATAAAAACTGGCATTTCTCAGGTCGTAACCGGAACCCGTTTTCACTAATGCGTTTCAGTACCGATGTCGTTCGCTCATGTAGCTGTTCTAACGTTGCGGCAACAATTAGAATGTCGTCAAGGTAAGCCGCGACTCCCGGGATGCCCGATAAGATAGTATCCATTAATTGTTGGAAAATAGATGGTGCAGTCTTGACACCGAATGGTAAACGGTTGTACTGAAATAACCCACGGTGAGTGTTGATAGTAAGCAGCTCCCTAGATGCTTCGTCTACTTCAACTTGCAAATAAGCATCAGCAAGATCCAGTTTTGCGAAGAATTTTCCCCCATTCAGCATCGTAAACAAATCTGCCGGAACTGGTAAGGGATAGTGGTGTTGTTCAAGGGCTGCATTTAGACCTGTAGAAAAATCAGCACATATTCGTAAGGTGCCGTTTGCTTTCTTGATGACCACTATCGGTGCTGCCCAGGCGGAGTAAGAAACGGGAGTAATTACTCCTTGTTGTTGGAGGCGGTTTAATTCTTCATCTACTGTTGGTAACGTCGCATAAGGCACGGGTCTTTTGGGACGAAAGACAGGCTTAGCTCCAGGTTTCAAACGAAGCGTTGCTTTTAAGGTAGAACACTGTCCCAAACCAGGCTGGAAAATCGATGAAAACTGCGCCATTAGCTTCCTGGTATACGATTCAGTGCCATGAGGTTGTGATATCATGTGGCATATGGTATTTAGTGGGACATCAGCCAATTTCAGTTGATCGAACCAATCTAAACCAAGTAAATTTAGATCAGTTGGAGTTATATGACATACCCCGGTAAATGACGACTCCCGGAAGGTCACTCTACATTCCAATTGTCCTTCTAAGTGTAGGAAATTACCACATGCGGTACGAGGCTTTTTAGTTGTTCGCTGCAGGCTTGGGCGACCCATTTTGATCCAATTTTTGTGAGAGAGGATGGTGACGTCTGATGCGGTATCTATTTGCAATCTAAAAAAATGTCCATTAATATTAATGTTAATGAATTTCCTCTCACCTGGTGATGAACTCTGACAAGAAGATACCAAGCTCAAAGAAGAGGTACAGGGCTTTGGAACCGTCTTTTTGGTATTACTGGATCGATTTGGTGTGCTCTTAAGGCAAAACCCGTCCTTGTGGCCAACAACCTTGCACTTCCTGCATCGATGTTGCTTAAATGGGCAATTCCTTACGTAGTGCCATGCACCACAATGCCAGCAAGGAGTGGAGGGATTTGTTCTGGTCTGTCGAATTGGGCTGAAATGAGTTGGACTGAATGCAGCGGGAGCGCACTGATTCTGGTTAGTTGTCTTTTGGATTACTCGTACTTCCGATCGACTAGACCCACCACTCTCAACCATCGACGTGTCTCGTTGTAGATTTACTAGGCGTTGATATTCATTAGCCATGTCATTTAGTGTGAGTTTTGGATCTTGGTCCAATCGACATAGTAGTCGCGTTCTTATGTCACTGAACTTCTGGGACTGAAGGCTGCAAATGAGGATAAGGGCTTTGAACTGGTCTTCAGATAAAGACTTTAACCGGAACCGTTCGCATTCACGGTTAACGATGCCCACATGCGTAAGGAAGTCATCGTCTTCGTTCATAACCAGCTTCAAACATCGGTAACGGGTGTTAAACAATGATGAATTGTCCCCAAAATGTTGGCTTAGTGTCTGGACTGTGTCTGCGAAAGAGCGATCACGTGGATTCAATGGCAGGATCAAATTGCAGTACCTGTCCAGCTCACTTGCACCCAACTTCCGAAGTAGCAGTCGTACCTTCCAAGCATCATCTTGATTAGCAAAATCAAATTTAAATAGGTCTTCATAACGCCGGAACCACATGTCAAAAGTAACGTTTGCATCAGGATCATAATGAAACTCAGCAATACTATTTGCGTCGCCGTCTACTGATGGTGCTGTGGTTGCATTAGCTGTGCTAGGCTGTGAAGGGGGCGAAACTTTCATGTCTGTCAGCATTTGTATGAGCTTCAGCTGCTGTTCAAGTAATGATTCGAGTTTAGAAGGATCCATGTTTCCAAACCACCGTCGCCAATTGTTATGCCTGAAACTAAATCGATTCCGCGGTAACGAACGAAAGCCAATGACACAATGACACGATAAGCTATTCTAATCTGTTGTCCCAGGCCCCGCTAACTAGATGAAGAAGTCCAAGGCAAGTAGGGGAATATATATGTATTCCGTAAGCAGCCGAGTACAAGCAATCAAATAAGGGAAAAAGTCAAGCGCATTTATACAGTAACAAATTGTCCTTGAGCACCATTAGTAAATAGCACACATAAAGAAACAAAGGACCAATAGCGGTTAAGATAGTTTACAGGTGGGAAATATGACGTGAAGGTAAAAGAGCGCTTTTGGCGCGAAAACAGCTAAATTCAAATTTTCAAAATAAAACTACAAGATTAGGCCATTTACCAAGTAAGTTCTGGGGATTTGACATCCCCAACAAAACCCCACTAATTAAACCATCAAGTTCACAGAACAAAACCCTGTCAAAATTTATTGATTTCTTGATAATGGTGTAACATTTAATTAATTTGTGCTGCAATAATGTTTGGTTCATCTAAAGCAATTAGTCCCTTTGATAAATTTCGATACTGTAATAAGAAGACGAAGATTATCAGAACTATGTGATAGTATATTAGTGCAGTACATTTCGAACAATCTGATCACACATAATATACTTGTTATGAACATTTATCTAGAAAAATAAAAGGTCAACTAGTCTGGAAATTGGGGGTGTGTGTGTAAGAGTAGACAAGGATAATATGCATATATTACCAGGGTTGGTTTAAGGAGAGAACAAACTGTTTTTGAATACACAAAGGGGGTTTGAATTTTCGTATGGCTAAAGCTTCAATAAACCTCAGTATACGCCCTTTTACACTTTTAAACAACACAACAAAATCCAAGTTAAGATCAATCTCATGACCTTGAGATGGTGGAGAAGATTTGTAGCTCAGGTGGGTGATTTTGAACAAACCTACATCAAAATCTTATGACCTGTTTCGATTATGTGTTTGGCAATAGATGATGATGGATGTTTATCCTCTACTCTTATCACAATTGATTGATCACTGGGTGGTGATCAATCACATGCATGTCAAGTCCTTAGTGCTGATCGAATGCTATCGATCAAGTTGCAATCTGGCCACCAGTCTAGGTGGCTCGACACTGCGTGCACTATATAATATATATTAAGGTAAAATGGTGGTTGGACGTGGTCAGTCAATTGTGATTAGATCTCAGTCTTACAGTTGTGTTTCAGGTTTTATTTCATCTATAGCATGTGTATGAATACGATGTATTTATTTTGATATTCTTTGCTCTAATTATCCTACAGGTTGCTAAAACCATTCAAACTTTAGCAAATTTTAGTTTATTCAGTGGTTCTAAAGAAACTTATATGAAATTTATGAATCAATTTGTAACCGATCAACTTCCAGCAATGAGACAATTTCTACAATCAATTTCAGTACCAAATCCTAAAGCGACTTCATATAAATCATTATTGAATAATGATACAGTATTAAAACCAATCAATTCTTTATCAAATATTTATAATAATAGTACTATTCATGGTAACAGTAGTAATAATGGTTCTATGCCACATTCATTACATATTATTGGTTCTGATGAAAATTGTTTAAAATTGTCTACAATGTCGAATAAATTTAAGATGAAAACTGGTTCTAAGGAGAATAATCATTATATCAATAATAGTCAATCACATCATGGTGGATTTATTAATGATGATGATGAATATAAAGATTATTCAAGCCATTCTCGGCAGTCGCCTGTTTTCACAAGTTCAGAGATTACAAGTAAATTAGTAAGTTAATGAATTTCCGGTTTTGATCCAATTTGTATGCAAAAAGATTTGAAGGTTACTTGGTCGTTTTAAGCTTTAACTGTCATTTTGAATATCATCATTGGGCTAGTTTGCTAAACTCTATTCTAATGCAATTTTGCATATTGTTCAGCTCATGAGGCTACTTTAAGATCATCTTCCTAAAGAAGAGGCTCACCCACGCAAAAGCAATTTCAAATACCAGTTATATAAATGGAAAAGATCAAAGGATCTAAGACACTACATTGTATCATGCCATTCTGACCGGGACAGGATTCGACAAGGAGAAGTTAGTTCCGACTATTTCGTGTGGGCGACTGAGGTTTTTGACCTCGTAAGATGTAAATTGGCTTATAAGAAGCTAGTGGTTTACCGTGTCAAAGTATGGCTCTAAGACTAGATATCGTTGGTTACAAGATTTTGATTTTTAAGGAAGCCAACCATATTGGGAATCAGTGATAAGTTTTGCAGTGAGTAAATAGTTGGTGAGTTTGTCACCAATAATTTCTTTCATAATCCTAGAGATAACTAGAGTAATATTTATGAACCGATAATTGTTTATGCTAGTCTTATCTCCAGATATGTGACGTCCTATGATATATCCAATTTCCCAACAGTGAGGATAAGTATCTGTTTCCAGAGAGAGAGAGAGAGAGAGAGAGTAAATAGCTTTAGAAAAAGAAGAATTGAAATATCTGGTCCACTATATTTATAGAGAAAGAATAAAATCCTGTCTACTTCATGACCACCATTTGAAACCTTAAGGGAGTTTATAGCCTTGCTAATTTCCGGGAATATGAAGGAGATAGATTTGATTTGCACAATTATAAACCTAATTCAAGTGGTTAACTGATAAAGCGTTTCTCTATTCTTAGAATATTCCATCTACTATTCTATAATATAATTAATTAACTGACAATTCTTTTTTTTAATTTTATGAACAGAATGATATCAAATCAAGTGTAAGTGGGAGTTCTATGTCTCAGAAGTATCAGTCTACAAAATCGACATGTAATTCAATATGTTTACCTCCTCTACCAACAAATCAACATGGTCATTTAGGCTTGAGAGATCATGTTGATTTACCCTTATGTTTAGCTCTATGTCATCTTCAATTATCTGAAGCAATTGAAAAAGTTCCTGAAGATGTAAGTCTATTATGATGATGTTTGAATTTTTGTTTTAATAATCCTGCTCCGCTTGCTAAAATATAGCTAACCCGTATAACATCACTAACCCTCATGGAGTGTCGTTCAAGTCTAAGCACGTAAATATGTACTCCGTAAATTAGTTGAAAGTAACTTAGTTGGCAAATTGATTGATGAAGTAGTGAAACTTCGTCAGTTGAGATGGCTGGGACACGTGTTACGTATGCCAAACAACCGACTGCCCCGACGAGCGATGTTTTATGATGTAGGAGTAGGTTGGAAGAAAGCTAGAAGCAGCCAGACCAAAACGTGGCACAAATCCATGAAGTCACTGACAAGTGGACTGAGCCATATTGGCAGGTGTAGACTACCTGGTTGGGATGGTAACCGATGGTTAGAGACGTTGAATGACATGGCTCAAAATCGTTTGCGATGGCGAAGGTGCATTCACTCTTTGTGTTCTGCCGAATTCTAATCCTCCGAATTCTTCATGTCTCTATCTTTTTTCTCTTTCCACATTTATCTCACTGTATTGTACTCCTTCAATAACATCTTCAAACCCTAGTCTTTCGGATTACTGCTTATACTCTTACTACTTCTACCACTATGAGATTTGAACCGACAAGTGGATCTCTGTGCTAATGTGGTATGGCAACTCGAACTGATGTACGTGCGTACGAAGTTCTACGTTGTGACTGACTGAACTTTGTTGTAAAAAGAAAGATATACCTTTTAGTGGAATGTTTGTATTGACTTGACATAAGACGAGGTTCGATCATAGTATCGTTTTTGATATTTTGATGTACGGTAGCTTGGAAAATGAACAACAGAAATAATCATAATAAGTATAAATATTTTCCAATGAATTTCGATAATGGAATAAGAAGACGAAGATTATCAGAATTAATAAGAAAGATGAAGCACAGATGTTTATTTTTAATTTTTATTTAAATACATAAGTATTGGTACAAGGAAGCACCAGATAAATATGCGCCTCACAAATCTCATTTGATTTGTGTGAGGGCTGTGATACTGCCCAGGTGCCCAGACCGAAGCAGGTGGTTTTCTTAGGGGGCCACACACAGAGCCTTTGACCTGAATGCCTGACCCACAAGGCAGTGGAGCATCGTGAGGAGATGCAGTCCCATGGTAGCCGTTGACCAATGACAGGTTCGTCCGCCATTCGTTCCATCAGGATACTGGAGCCCATGTGCACCACTGGTTTGGAATCAGGTTTTTTCCAACTCCCCTAGGTGGACCCCCCGTGTCCACCAACCCGGTTAAAGCGCCGGACAATCGCTTTTCGTCCTCTCAACTTCGTAAACAACGCCCCCGCCACGAGAAGGCAGTGAGTAGGACTTCCCTGGTAGAGGCTATATACGCGCGTGTATATGAGAGCATTTGGAGAGGGAGAGCGGACTCTCTCCACTCTCAGTCGTTCCAGGGCATTTGGGGGGGGGAAGCACGGATGAGACAAACTTTTACGCAACAAAAATCTAATGCCATCAAGTTATAGATTTCGACGTTTCCCATTAGTATACCGATAAAGCAATTGAAAAATTGGGAAACATTAGATATCCATACGTTTCTATTCCCAAAATGCTCATCATTATAATGTCTTGACATATTTAACAAACAAGTCGATTAGGGTTTGTCAGTTTTTCAACTTGTGAATAGGATCCACAATGTTCGATCGCATTCACTTCTGCTTGGATGTGTCACGTCCTTTAAAACTTAATTTTTTTAGTGTCTTCCCAAACGCCACTAGGAGGGAGGTTAAAACCTTGATGCATTTGGAGAGTAGAATTGTTTGCGAACTTCAGATAATACATTTGTCTCAAATGAGAGAGCACAAATCAGTACCTTGGTTTCTGACCTATGGCTTATTTAAAACAAAATGAAGTCTAAAACAAATAAGGCAGATTTACAATGCTTCCGACTGGAGTTAGTCGGTGTGACATCCTCGACTTAAGTTCCTTGCTAATTGACACTTTGTTAGCAAGGGATACATATATGCAGCTGGTGCTCCTAGTCTCAATTAAACTTACATCACTCAACTTCACAATCTTAGACGTCACAACTGAGCCAGTCTAAATGTTCGTTTACTTATAATCACTTGAATTCTTAGACGTTTTACTTATGAATAATTGTCAACTAAAATTGTAGAAAAGAATGCCTGATGTTAAAGAATTGAAATCAATCCTAGATGAAGTGAATACATTTCTTGTATCTGGAAAAGATCCTCAACCAAATTGGTGGCATAAAACAACCATAAATAATAATAATAATAATAATAATAATAATAATAATAATACAAATCATAATAGTAGTACAACAATAATACCAATAAAGGATAATACACCAACAAGAAAAACAATCAGCGAAAATATAAACAATGAACCTAAAACCAATACAAAATCACTTTGTTTTCAATCTCATCGAAATAAACCTATGAGTAATGATGTAACTATCTATGAATGTACAAATAATGATTCCAAGTTCATCATGAATACTTCATCATCATCAGTCCATAAAAGTATTAATCTATCCGATGATGGTGGTACAACAATCTCTGTATTAAATTCATCAATCACTAGTGTGATATCACCTAAACAAATTGTTTGTCCTGATAAAAAAGATTCTCATCATGACTATAAAGAACAACAAGTTAAAACTACGGTGAGTTTCTTGTTTTTGTTTATTTGTTTCTATGGGTACATCTGTTGTGTTCTATCATCGATATACCTCTTTTACTGATCAGTACAAAAAGTATATATGAGACAAAACATAGTTGAAACACGACTTCTAACAGGTGATAAGGTGTACAGTCGAACCTTGGTACTTGGAATTAGATTGCATGATTATAAGTCATATGAATACAGTGGTCTTAAGTGCTGTTAGAGGTATGAGGGCAGTTATCACTTCCCGGTTGCCCACACTATGGAAGGGTTCTTCTAGAGGTACCTAAAAAAGAAATTGGGTTAGAAGTGGTCTTAATGACCTGAAAGCGTGACCGCAATGACCAAGAGACAACTGCTTGAGGTCGGTCACACATGACCTTTTTGTGGGTAGTTTTTGTGTTAGCTCCGTTCTTCAAAAAACCTTACCGCCGGAGACGGATATCCTTGGGATAAGGCGAGGTGTGCATTTTTAGGGTCGACCTTTTCTAAGCCCACCCCTCCTTGTGGGAAGGCAGCATCGCTGTTATGTTGGTTGCCTGAAGGAAACACCTTACTTCTGTCACACCTCTGTACAGTCAGCAGTACGACTTCGCCTTCGGACCTTGGTTTTGCTGCTTTTAGTCTCACTGTTCTTCAACCGACCTGACCTGGATGGTAGGACCTTGAGGAACGATTGTTCCAGACAGTATAGCTTGATTGGTGCATCACGATAGACAAGCCCGACCACCACATCAAGGTAGCAGCAACGGTCGGGATATGATTATAAAGTTACTGCGTGACGAATACGGGTCAATATGACCATTCACATCCAGTAAATTCTGTGAATAATACATAGTGTCCACCATAGATATTGTATGTGCAATAATGTTTCAAGCGTGCAATGTTATAGACTAACTATATCATAGTTAGTTGGGATCGTATCACAGGTCAGATTTTTTACTGTTAGTACTTCCAAGAAGGATTAAAGTATGTCATTTACTTTTGTAGTCAGCGAAAATGTCCTTTCGCGTAGTTTTACAATCGCAAAAAATATCACAATGATGATAATATGATGGGTCAGACAAACTTGAGTGGTTCAATGAAAATTTTCTGACTATGGTACTGATTAATGAAAGGTTTTCATCACCAGGGTAGTTTCACTTTTGTTCACAACTTATGAGACCCAACAAACACTAACTTTAAGTTTGGATCGTCCTACTAAGTAACTCGATCCGATTATTCAACCCTAGGAATGCTTACTTAACTGTGATGATGGCATGACAGATTGCGGAATCACTTTATAAGTAACATAAATTCTGTATCCGCTGTTCTTAATTCCGAAAAATGACTTTATGTAGAAATGTCAAATTCAGAAACCAAAAACTACACCATCTTTGCTTGTTGCGTGTCCTAACTCATATAGGGACATTGAATAGGAGAAGGACAATATAAATAATTCATACAATATACATTTCAGTTGTAGCTTGGTTCACGTGTGAAACTTCGGCTTTTACGTTTCAGACAAAAATTGATGTTTACACTGTTCCGAATAATGATTCGAATTTAGCCCCTGTTCCAAAGTTTCTCCATCAAGCGTGATTGGGTTGGTTGGTGTTCTGTGTGTTTTATTTGAGGATGTTGTTTTTTCCCTTTTGTATCTGTCAGTTGTCCTCCGCCTGTAGCTCCTCCAGGGGCTACTGCCGGTCCCAAGCCCGGGTAAAGGAGGAGGGTTGGGCATGGGGTTAGCGACCCCATCCCGTAGAAAATCAACTCGCTAAAAAAACGCTAACCAGAAAAAATCATTCAAACCATTCAAACTCTGCCCTGGGAGTAGAAGGAATAATTATGACGTCTCATGATGAAAGCCGAGTTCCTTCGGAAGTCATGAGGCCGATGCACCTTCTTACAACCAGAGCGACAATTTTTATAGGTACATGGAATGTCCGGACAATGTGGGAGACTGGCAGAGTCTTCCAAATTTCTGCGGAAATGAGGAAATACAACCTGGAAGTGCTTGGAATCAGTGAAACACATTGGACGCAGGTTGGACAACAACGACTGTCTTCAGGGGAACTTCCTTTATACTCCGGTCATGAAGAAGAAAATGCCCCACATACACAAGGAGTGGCACTGATGCTGTCTAGAAAAGCACAAAATGCACTTATAGGATGGGAATCTCATGGACCGAGGATCATCAAAGCCTCCTTCAGAACGAAGAGAGAGGGCATTACAATGAACATCATCCAATGCTATGCGCCGACCAACGACTACGATGAAGACGCTAAAAACCAATTCTACGATAGGCTGCAGTCAATCTTTGAGAAGTGCCCAACCAAGGACCTGACCATTCTAATGGGAGATTTCAATGCCAAGGTTGGAAAGGACAACACTGGATACGAAGACGTCATGGGACAACATGGACTGGGAGAAAGGAACGAAAATGGTGAGAGATTTGCAAACCTATGTGCCTTCAATAAACTGGTCATAGGTGGCACCATATTTCCACACAAAAGCATACACAAAGCCACTTGGATTTCACCGGATCACACTACACAGAATCAAATCGACCATATCTGCATCAACAAAAAATTCAGGAGGACGATGGAGGATGTGAGAACCAGAAGAGGATCTGATATAGCACCCAATCATCATTTGCTGGTCGCCAAGATGAAACTAAAACTCAAGAAGCACTGGACAACTGTGCGGACAACATCACAAAAGTTTAATACGGCCTTTCTTCGAGATGCTGACAAACTCAACGAATTTAACATAGCCCTCAGCAACAGGTTCGAGGCCTTTCATGACCTACTCAATGTAGAGGGAACCACCATAGAGAGCAGCTGGAAAGGTATCAAGGAGGCAATCGTTTCAACATGTCAAGAATTCTGGGCCAAAAGAAGCACCATCACAAGGAATGGATCACTGTTGGTACGCTGGATAAGATTGAAGCAAGGAGGAACAAGAAGGTAGCAATCAATATCAGCCGAACAAGAGCGGAAAAAGCCAAGGCACAAGTCGAATACACAGAGGCAAACAAGCAAGTGAAGAGGAGCATCAGAACCGACAAACGTAAATATGTGGAAGATTTAGCGATGACAGCGGAAAAGGCTGCAAGAGAGGGAAACATGAGACAACTGTATGATACAACAAAGAAACTTGCTGGAAATTACCGTCAACCAGAAAGACCAGTGAAAAACAAGGAAGGCAAAGTAATCACCGACATTGAAGAACAACGAAACAGGTGGGTAGAACACTTCGAAGAACTCTTGAATCGACCAGCTCCACTGAACCCACCCAACATCGAAGCAGCACCCACAGACCTCCCAATCGATGTTGGCCCACCAACAATTGAAGAGATCAGCATGGCCATTAGACAAATCAAGAGCGGCAAAGCAGCAGTACCAGACAACATCCCGGCAGAGGCACTGAAAGCAAATGTAGCAGCAACTGCCAAGATACTCCACATCCTCTTCAGTAAGATTTGGGATGAAGAACAAGTACCAACAGACTGGAAAAAAGAACTTCTGATCAAGATACCAAAGAAAGGTGATCTGAGCAAATGCGACAACTACAGGGGCATCACTCTTCTCTCAATACCAGGAAAAGTCTTCAACCGAGTATTGTTAAACAGGATGAAGGATTCCGTGGACGCCCAACTTCGAGATCAACAAGCTGGATTTCGTAAGGATAGATCGTGCACAGATCAAATCGCAACTCTGCGGATCATTGTGGAACAATCAATCGAATGGAATTCATCACTCTACATCAACTTCATCGACTACGAGAAGGCATTTGATAGCGTGGACAGGACGACACTATGGAGGCTTCTTCGACACTACGGCGTGCCTGAGAAGATAGTCAATATCATACGGAACTCCTATGATGGACTAAACTGCCAAATCGTCCACGGAGGACAACTCACCGACTCGTTCGAGGTAAAGACCGGTGTTAGGCAAGGTTGCTTACTCTCACCCTTTCTCTTTCTCCTGGTGATCGACTGGATTATGAAGACGTCAATATCTGGAGGAATGCACGGGATACAGTGGACAGGCAGGATGCAGCTTGACGATTTAGACTTCGCGGATGATCTGGCTCTTCTATCACAAACGCAACAACAAATGCAGGAGAAAACGACCAGTGTAGCAGCAGCCTCAGCAGCAGTAGGTCTCAATATAAACAAAGGGAAAAGCAAGACTCTCCGATACAACACAATATGCACCAATCAAATTACACTTGATGGAGAAGCTTTGGAGGATGTGGAAACCTTTACATATCTGGGCAGCATCATTGATGAACACGGTGGATCAGATGCAGATGTGAGGGCGCGGATCGGCAAAGCAAGAGCAGCATATTTACAACTGAAGAACATCTGGAGCTCAAAACAATTGTCAACCAACACCAAGGTTAGAATTTTCAATACAAATGTCAAGACAGTTCTACTGTATGGGGCAGAGACGTGGAGAACTACGAAAGCCATTATCCAGAAGATACAAGTGTTTATTAACAGCTGTCTACGCAAGATACTTCGGATCCGATGGCCAGACACTATCAGCAACAAGTTACTGTGGGAGACAACAAACCAGATTCCAGCGGAGGAAGAAATCAGGAAGAAGCGCTGGAAGTGGATTGGGCACACTTTGAGGAAATCACCCAATTGTGTCACAAGACAAGCCCTCACATGGAATCCTGAAGGTCGAAGGAGAAGAGGAAGACCAAAGAACACATTACTCCGTGAAATAGAGACAGACATGAGAAGAATGAACAAGAACTGGAAAGAACTAGAAAAGAAGGCCCAGGACAGAGTGGGTTGGAGAAAGCTGGTCGGCGGCCTATGCTCCATTGGGAGTAACAGGCGAAAGTAAGTAAGTAAGTAAGTTGTCCTTCGATCACGACTTTGCAGTGTGGTCCGTCGTATGAGTTCTGCATGATGTTGAAGATCTCAGCTATTCACTCCATATTGTTGAAGAAGGTTTCATAATGTTCTCCTGTCCACACTGCTAAATGCTTTCTCGTTGTCAAGGAAGTTGATGTTTAGTGACAAGTTCCATTAAAATGGATTGTTCAACGGTGATCCGTAGTGTGGTGATTTGGTCAGTACACGACCGATCCCTATGGAATGCAGCCTGTTGATCTGGAATCTTGGCGTCTACTGAATCTTTGATACGGTTCGGCAACACTGTTGAAAACGTTTCCTGATACTGATAGTAATGTGATGACTGTGTAGTTCTCACATTCGCTCAGATCTCCTTTCTTTGGCATGTTGATGAGGTGTCCTTCTTTCCAGTATATCTGTGGCACTTCTTCTTCCTCCCAAAACTTTTTGAATAAAAAGTGAAACATGTTTGCAGTTACTTCTATGTGTGACTAGTGGTTCGCCTGGTATATTTTCAGGTACTGCTGCATTCTCACTCTTGGTTTGTCTGATTGTGATTTTGATGTATTGGATTATTGGCGGAGTGGTAGCCATAGGAAGGTCTTTGTATATTGCTTCGATGTCCGGTAGGTTCAGTAAGGTTAGCCTACTCAAAAGTTCCTTAAAGTTTTCTACCTACCTGTTCATGTGTTCTTAAGTCTCAGTGATTATCTTGCCTTGTTTGTACTTGAGTAGTCTCTCTGGTTTACTATATTTCCCTGCTAGTTTCTTCGTTGTATCATATAGTTCTTTGATATTTCCTTCTGTTACAGCTTTTCCGCAGCTCTTTCACGTATTTCTGCTTGTCAGCTCTAATGCTTCTCTTCACTCGCATGGTTGCTTTTGTGTATTCAGTTTGTGCCTTGACCTCTCTTCTTGTTCGGCTGTTGTTAATTGCTGTCTTCTTGTTCTTCCTTTCTTCAATCTTGTCCAGGGTTCCCATAGAGATCCATTCCTTATGATGATGCCTCTTGCTACCCAGAACCTCCTGACACGTTGAAGTTAGTGCTTCTTTGATCCCTTTCCAGTTGCCATCAATTGTAGTTTCTTGTTCTTTCAGTAGATCATGTAAGGCTTGAAATCTGTTGTTGATAGTTATCTCGAATTCGTTGATTTTGTTAGTCTATCGGAGGAAAGCCGTATTGAGCCTTCTAATTGCTGTTTCCCAATGTTTCTTTAGTTTCAGTCCATGTCGTCCCATGATATCTTCATACTTGGCGTTGTCTGTTCCGCCTGTGACGTTCAGGTCTCTCATCAGAATGGTCAGGTCGTTTCCTAAGCACTTCACTATGATCGATTGCAGCCTTTCATAAAACTGATCCTTGTTGTCGTCGTTGCTCTCATTGCTCGGTACACAGCACTAGATAACATTCATTGTGATTTCCTCCTTTTTTTTGAAGGATTCTTTGATGATTCTGAATTCATGAGCTTCCCATCTTATAAGTGTTTTACGTGCCTCTTTGGACAGCACCAGGGTAACTCCCTGAGTGTGTGGAGCATTTTTTCTTCGTGATGAGAGTACAGCAACATCTCTCCCGAATCTAACCTTTTCTGTCCAACTTGGGTTCTTCTTTCCCAGCACCACCAAGTTATATTTGTTTATTTCCGTTGCTATCTGATTGGTCCTCCTGGTCTACCACATTGTCCGAACATTCCATGTACCTATATTAATTATTTCTCTGATTGTTAGAAAGGGCATCAGCCTCGTGATTTCCGAAAAATTTGGGCTTTCACCATGGAGCGTCGTAATTCTTCTGAAAGGAGATCCTTCAACTCGGAGTACAGAGTTTAAATGGTATTATTTGTTTATTCTGGTTAGCATTCATTTAACTAGGTTGTTTTCTACTAGATGGGATTGCTGATCCCGTTCCCTAATCTCCTCTATTATGTGGGCTTGAGAATGGCAGTAACTCTAGAAGAGAGCTAGAGGCTGAGTTTTTATTTGTAGTATTTATAGTTTTTAGTAGAAACAAAATCATCATTATAATTGTCCAATCCGCACACAGGGAGTAATCAGCATTGTCCAATAGGGGAGCTCCAGGTAGCAATTCTAGAATATTCTTCCAAAAGCTGATTGGATGGAATATATCGGGCTCCTTCTGGGCTTTTTAGAGCTTCCTCGACTTCACCTGTGGACCATCCTCACAATAGTATTATTGAGTGTTATTCTACTGTCTTTTCTCTGCTTTATGTTTGTGTAATTCATGACTCAAATAGCTTAATCTAACTCCTAACTATTCAATTAATATTTTATCATTATGATTATTTTACTTTTAGCCTGATTCAAATATCAAATTTGTCATATCAAAAGGAAAGTATAATAATTCGTGTATACAAGAACGTGTAACACCACGATGTGATTCAATAGAGATTATTAGAATACCACATTCAAACAATCATAATAACTCAATGGATACAAATAATGAAGAGATCTATGATATAATGAATCCTACAAATTCTTTACCTATTGATCAGAATGTTTCTAAAAAAGTCACTGAATCAAATCATGATTCCTCATCAATGACACAACGTGATAATCGAAGAAGAAGAAGAGTTCAAAGTGCTAGAAAAACACAAGAACCTATAATTATTCATCAGAATATTGTAGATACTGACAATAATATACACATTAGTAATACATTACAAAAGTCATCAGGAATAGATCATCAAAACCTATATAATCATAGTGCATCACTTGATATATGTAATGATATTATGAATTCAGAACCAATTGAACATTCAGAGTTTAATCCAATTTATTTAGGGAATTCTTCATCATCTGGTTATCTTACTATTTCAAGTCATGGAAATATTTTAAATTATCCAACTATAGGAGAAGAATCAGTTATAGTTGACCCAATTATTATCTCTACATCAGATAATGAGATCATAACATCTTTGTCTACTACTAGTACTACTGATATTAGTAGTATGAATAATCCTTTATATACTTGTCATTCATTGAAGCAAATTAGTTCAATCAATTCCAATGATTTTCAAAAACAAATGACAATTGTTGATGATCCAAATCATTCATTGGGTCTGTGTAGTCCTCAACTGAAGAAAACTTTACAAAATTCTGTTAGACGACATACATATGTAAATTTATCGAATGATGTAGGTGAAACAGATCGACTAATTGATGCTTTAAAAAATAATCAGTCTAATCATAAAGTCAATAATATAGAATTAGATAAACGAAATTGGGCACCACCTATGTATATATCTAATGAACAAAGAAATAGACGTATCACTCTGACATATCCAACATCATATGAGCATGTAAACACACCAACTGAATCAATAAATCAAAATGTTCTTAATTATTCGGGTACAGAACATTTAAATTTAACTGATTCATTTAAGTCATCACCCACTGAACAAGAATTATGTCAAAATTCTACGCTACAAACAGAAATTCAAAGAATTAAATTTATTCCATTGAATACTTCTTATACAATTGGTGCAATTCCTAATAAAAGAACTGCATTATTTTCATCAGAAGTAAGTTTTTACTTTCTTAGGTTTGCCTTGTTATTCTCTTGTTAACTTTTTTGTTGTTGAGGTAAACTAACGAACACTTTATTTTGTGGAATATTTATACCATACTCTGATATTGTTTGCATACTTACGCCTGTTAACCCTCGTGGGAGGGTTGTATGATGCCGCTACACTACCGGCGCAAAAGTGTCCGGCACTTTCACACTGCAGTAGTCAGTTGCCATACTTAGTCCCCAAAAGCCCTGGTACGGCCGAGAGTGTGGAGAGTCCGTTCTCCCTCTCGAAATGCTCTCACATAACCACGCGTATATAGCCTCTGCCAAGGATGTCCTACTCACTGCCTTCTCGTGGCGAAGTAGGGTGTTCTTTACGAAATTGAGAGAACGAAAAGCGCTTTAATCGGGTTCGTTGACATGGAAAGTCAACCACAAAGAGTTGGAAAACCCTGATTCCAAACCAATGGTGCACATGAGATACAGTATCCTAAGAGGACAAACGGCGTATGAACCAATCGTCGGTCACCGGCTACCATGGGACTGCATCTCCTCACGATGCTTCACTGCCTTGTGGATCAGATCTTTAGGTCAAAGGCTCCGGGTGTGGTTCCCTAAGAAAACCACCTGTTTCGGTCTGGGCAGTATCACAGCCCTCACACAAATCAAATGAGATTTTTGAGGCGCATATATATCTGGTGCTTCTTTGTACCAATATTTATGTGTTCAAATGAATAAATAAACCGTCGTGGAGGAGCATAGGCCGCCCACCAGCATTCTCCATCCAACCCTGTCCTGGGAAATCCTCTCCAGTTATCATTCATATCTGTTTCTATTTCCCGGCATAATGCGTTCTTTGGACTTCCACTTTTCCGCTTCCCTTCACCATTCCAAGTTAACGATTGCCTCGTGGTGCAGTTTGATGATTTCTTCATTGTATGTCTTATCCACTTGCAACGTCTTTTCCTAATTTCCTCTTCAGCTGGAAGCTGGTTTGTCCTCTCCCATAAAACGCTGTTGTTTAACAGGTAAATAATCAAAAACTATGCTGCACTTGAATTCAGTCCTTACAAACCACTTAACTATATCTCAAATTAAACAGGTAATAATAATAATGATAATGAACCATCAGTGTGCTATAGGACACAATGGTGGAGTTTGAAGTGTTTACCTTAAGCTTTCGATTAAATGATGTCCTCCTTACTCCAAGATCAGAATTTTTGGAAGTGTTTCTAATTCGCTCATCAGACTCATGCTCTAAACGTGAATGTTAATGATGATACTCGGTTGTTCTAATCGAAGTTGGCTTAGAGAGATTCGAACCAGGGACGAGGCGGCTGAAAGTCAAAAACCCTAACCACTGTGGTATGGCAACTCGAACTGATGTACATAAGTACTAAGTTCCACGTTGTGACTGAACGACTAATCACTGAACTACAGCAGTTAATTCTAGTTTTTGACAAAAATCTACCTTTAATTAGAACGGATCTCAGTTGATTGACTACTGATTAGTCGCTAATATCACATCATTAGTGCACTGATGGTAATTGAAACTTGTCTATCGAATTGCAATTTGACTACTAGTCTCAGTGACTTTACGTCAAATGCTCTTCGTTGATACTTTAGATGGTTGAAGGTAGTTGGCAGGAGACCCTGGACATCGGTTTTGTGAAATAGAGGACTAGAAATACACAACATGGGTAGTAATCAACAAATTTTAAATAATTCAGTCCTACAGTAAACCAGTCGAGGTTTCAGGTACATATGCCTTACAGACGAGTGGCAGATAACACGGAAGTGCAGCTGATAAACACAATTATTTCATTCCTTATGGTCAATGCACATCGTCTGTTGTGTTATATGTTTAAATTGTATTACTTACGCTTAAAACCCATCGTGGAGGAGCGAAGGTTGCCCATTTGGATGTTCTAACTGTTTTCCGGGATCTCCTTTCCAGTCTTTACCAAGTCCTTTTCATTTATGTCTACTTCCGATTCTTGGTGCAATATGTTCTTGAGTCTCCCCCCTTTTTTTCCATCACAATTCCAAGTTATAGTTCGCCTCCCGATACAATTTGATGGTTTCTGTGATGTACGTCTTACCTACCTCTAGTATCTTTTCCTGATTTCCTCTTCAGCTAGAATTTGCTTTGTTATCTCCGACATTAGCTTGTTGTTATTTACATTGTATACTTAGTTTAATTATAACACCTCACTTAAAAAATTTGCATTTTTCTTTTGACGATTATGAAGAATAATACGCCTACCACTGTAATAGATCTTCGAAGTGAGTTGGATGCATCACAAGCACGTTTAGCTGAAGCTCAAGCACGTCTACTAGCTAATGAAGCTGAACGTATTCAAATATTGAAATCATGGCAAAGTGAACTGATCAAACAATCGCAATTAATTAATGCAAGTAAAGCAGTCTGTAATAATTCACCAATTCCTCAATTTTCATCGAATGTACAACTAACAAATACAGAAAATAATTTACATTGTAATCCTGACGAGAATGATTTTGATGAAAGTGGACCTAGATCAATATCAGTAATACCTTTATTAAATTCAAGTGGATTAAGATCACAAGATTATTCTGAAAGTATCTATGATTATGATGATAGTGAATTGATGAATAATACTGAACTAACTAAACAATATATTACTGATACAAATATACAATTACATAATAGTAATGGGATTAATCGAAATTTTGGCTTACATGCATCATCTCCTAGTTCATATTTAAAGTCATTGAGGTAAGTGTTATCCGTTTCTGTTTCGTACAACCCACTCTCTCTCTCTCTCTCTCTCTCTATATATATATATATATATATATATATATATATATATATATATATGGTTTGGCCACGTGTTACGTATGCCTGAACAGCGATTACCACGACGCGCTATGCTGATTAGTACTAGCGATGGTTGGAAGTTAGGGGCGGCCAAACCAAAACGTGACATCGGTTCTTGAAGTCACTAACTTCTGGTCTGAGCCATGTTAGGGGATGCAGACTACTTGGTTGAGGTCCGCGCGACTATTGTAGCCAGTGGTTGATGGAGAATCTGTGTGATATGGCTCAGGATCGATCACAATGGAGTGGATGTATACACTCTTTGTCTTCTATTAAGCCATGAGATTTAAATTACCTTATACCTTTTTCCCTATGTTGTATCTTTATATGCAATCTTTCTTCTGTACATTACTATCATTAAAGTACTTGTGTGAATTTGGTGTTCACCTTGTAGTGTCAATGAGGTGTGGCAACTTAGACCGACGCATATATGTACCTGGTCCTACGTTTTAGGTGATTGACTGATTTCCTTCTCTTACAGCTTTTACCGCTGTCATCACCAGATCTCCCATATGTTTGTTTGTCGATGCTAATCAGGAAAAGCGTTCTTATTGTGAACAGTAAAAAATGAAGTTGGGAATGTCATTGATAAATATTCAAATAATTTGCTTTGATAGTTTCAAGCACAATTTTAAAAATTAGATTCACTAGTTGACATTTATCTAATTTCGTCTAATATTCGAGTCGTTTGAGAATGACTTTTTTCTGACCAGTCAACTATAATTCCCAAATGTGATAGCTATTTAAAACAATTAATCCCTTTGATAAATTTCGATAGTGTAATAAGACAAAGATTATCAGAACTATACGATATATTAGCACAATACATTTCGAACAACCTGACCACATATATACCTATTGTTTTTTTACTCTTTTTTTTAAAAATACAGAGCACATACTAATCAACCTCGTATGGGAGCGTCTGCAGTTGTCACAAATTTACATGACTATCACGGGGCAGCACCACTAATGAGTGATTATCTTCAGTCGACAATACCACGAAGTAAAATAATAACCAATCGGGGCTATCAATTACACAACAATACTACTACAACCATTACATCACCAACTAATACAGAATTAGACGAATTCTGTCGAATATCACGTAGTCCTTCTACACCAGGTTTATCTAATTCAAACTTTACACGTACTCTTCCTGTAGATCCTGTTGGTGGTATAAACAATGAATTGAATTCAGCAAATAATTCAATTGACTCTGTTACTAATGATCAAGAATTCGCTAGACAAATTCAAGCTATTGTACATGAGAATAATCAACATTTATATTCATAAATGTAATGAGACATCTCATCCCTCCTTTCTTTCTAATATGCACAAATACCGACATCAACAACAATAACTTCAATACTGTTATTACTACACTAAGACTACTGATTCATTTGTCACGGTAACAATTATTTATATATATATATATATATATATATATATATATATATATATATATTTCTTTGCTCACATATCAAACCTTTTGCCCCCCCCCGCCCTACAAAAATGTAAACAATAGCGATAATAAGAACAAAGGGAACTCATTCTCACTCTCTCCTTATATACATATACAATTTATAAATAATTAGTAATATATTCACTTTTTACATCAATAATGCAAACAAACTTTCTATCTATATATATTTATATTTTGTTTATCATTTATATGAAACTGTCCGCTGCCACAACTCCTGCTCCTCCTCCTATTACTACTCCTTCTAACAATAACAAAACCGGAACAAATATGTTCCCTACTTCTTCTTTTTTTTATTGTATAAATTATTTATTTATTTATATATTTCTAATGAATAATATTCTTTTCTTTATGCTTTTTGAAACGAACAATTATGATAGATGATGATACTTTGTAATAACAATTATTCATTCAAATAAATAGTCTACATTCTTTATATGAAGTTTAATCTAAGTTTTTCTTCTCTTTTTTGTGTTGATTGACTTTTATTCTTTTTAGAAGGGGGTTTTGTGGAGATTTTTTAGTAATTTTATATAGTTGAGATTATGAGTCAATTGAAGCTAGGTGGATGGCCGTTTCGTCCTATTATGGGACCCCTGAGCAGTGCGCATCTACGATCCCGCCTCGCGAGATTCGAGCCTAAGACCTATCAGTCTTGCTCCAGAGCACTTAACCGATAGACCACTGAGACGGCATCCAACGGTGTTGATGTCTAACCTCAACCAATCCACGAAATTGCGCAACCAACTTCCATTGTACTGAGGTAGACACCTGTCTCAACCTAACATGGATTAGCTCCACTGGTCACGACGTCTCACTAGAACTCCAGGAATTACCTCTTCTTTTTCTTAAATTATTCAATCTTATGAAATATGAGTTGATGAATTTTTTTAATGTTAATATGCATAGATTATAATCATAAACATCAATGGGAAGATTCAAACAAACAAAACTAAATGAATTTATAAATTTTAATTGTTTGAGTTTAACCTTTTGAAATGAGAGACTGAAGAAACTGTGGTTTCTTGTTAAAATAAGATACTAAACATTTTTATTCCATTAACTTCAAGCACATAGATACTTCAGTTCCTTAGTATAAGAGGAAGTTGGAATTGTTCCATCTAGTCAAAAGGCTTTTATTAAAAAGCAGCAGTATTTCTTGGTCAAGTCAGGAAGCCTAATCAATATTCAATTCCAAAGTGAATCAATTGCTATCTTCACCATTTGAACTAAAGAGATTTTCTATCCATTTGATAATGTCAAAATATTTCCTTGTTTTAATATCTAAGAAATAAACATTTCCATATTGAACTGTAGAAAGAAAGTAATCTGTTTATTATCTGAAATAAAATAAGGTTGTCACTGTAAGTACATAATTCTACAGAATTTCTACAATAGAGCATTTTTCCTAATTGAAACCGTGAGTCAGTTGAAGCTAGACCGCCACCAAGGAAAACCTGAAAGCACTGGACAACCATTTCATCATATTTTGGGACTCTTCAGCATTGCGCATCCACGACCTTGCCTCGCGAGCGAGATTCAAACCTAGGACCTGCTGAGGAGTAGTCCTACAATAGAACGAAACAGCCATCCAGTGTTTCCAGGTTTTCCTTGGTGGTGATCTAGCTTCAATTGACTCATGATTTCAACTATGAAAAAAATACTGAAATCTCCATAAAACCCATTTCTAATAGAGTATTTCCAAAAAAAAGGGGAAAACCCTATTGCATTCGACAAAAGTTCTCATCTCCAATCATCTGTTGTAAAATGTTCATTTTGTATAATCACTTTTGATAGTAAAACAATCATCAAATATAGATAGTGATGTGTGTTTTAACATGAAAAAAAAAGATACATAATCAATGAAATATAGAATAACAGAAATTGTTGAATTACCAGACTAACTTATACATTTCATTAAGTAAGTTTTGATATTCAAGCATAGAAGTCAGTCAGCTACAACGTAGGACCAGGCACATTTATGCATCGGTTCAACTTGCCATACCTTACTCATTAGCACAACAAGATGAACACCAAATTCATAGAAGTAGTTAATTTAGTGGTGGTAGTATATTAAAAATAGGTTGTATATAAGGATATATATAGGAAAGAAGACAGATATAAATCAATTTTAATCTGAAGGTTTAATGGAATATAAAGAGTGTATACACCTGCATAAAAAGGTAATCTGAATTTGCAAATCGATTGATAATGGGATAGTGAATGCTCATTAAATGTGATGGTTGGGTATGTTTGACAACAACAACAGTCTATATCGATGCACAATGTCTATTGATGTAGGAATACGATTAAAAAAAACTAGGTGTAACTAAACCAAAACTTGCCATCAGTCTATGAAGTCATTGATTATGGGATTACACCGTATACATAGATACAAACTACTTTTGTTAGTGTTCATCTGATATGTTTACAAAACAAAGATTTTTAAAGCTGACATCTGTCTTTAGACGTAATTGAGTATATTCCATACTTGGCAATATATTATCAACTGGTATAGTACTTGCTTTATGAACTATGGATCTCCATTCAGTAGAACGATATGCAATATCAAGATGATTTGTTAGATCTTTGAAAAATACTGGTAATTCAGGGATACGTTTATTCATTGTATATTCAATAAGTTGAGTTATTTGATGAATAAGATATTCAATTTCATTAATTAAACAATTTAAGGTATCAGTTATTGATTTTTCTATATTAAATGTTTTATTATTGATTAACTTTGTATCATTTTCTATTGATTGATTATAAGGAATAAAATGAAAATCATCGATGTACTTTCGAGTAAACAATACTTGATCTAATAAATGCAGTAATGTATGTGAACTAAACAAAAAAAAACAAAAAAATTAGTTACTAAGTAAATGAAAACTCTCTGTTATAAAGGGTAATCATTCAAATAATAAGTAGATGTATAAATATTACATGATTGATGTAAGGATAGTCCATAGGTGAAGTTAAAGAAACCCAAAAGGAACCGGACATATTCTATCCAATCAGCTTTTGAAAGAATATTCTAGAATCACTACGTATAGCTTCTCTATTGGGCGAATGCTGATAACTCCCTGTATGTGGATTGGATAACAATAATAATGATTTTGTTTCTATTAAAAACTATAAATACTTAACAGTTTTTTATCATAATCGACACTGTTTGGAATAATAAACCTTCTACTTGTCTTCTGTCTTCTGACAGAAGAAATTCAAGTTCGAGATATAATTGAAATCAATGTATAATGATAATACTAAAGAAAATTACATGTCCTTTGATACTTTCAAATTATCATCAGAAACTCTTACCAATAGCTCTTCTCATCTGTCAAGAATACATTCATTTAAGATTCATGAAGAATTTGGCGGCTACTTTGAGATTAAAGAACGTGTTATCGAGGTAGAATAAAACTACAATTTAGTTAATTGGCTAGAAGGTGAATTGCGTAAAATACCAAGTAGCCAATACGCAGTGATTAAGAGGTACAAAAGAAATCTATGCTTCAATCTTTCCTGTTTATTGAGATATAATTTTATTCAGTTTAATAAAGATTGTTTAACTCCGCCTGTAGCTCCTCCAGGAGCTACTGCCGGTCCCAAGCCCGGGTAAAGGAGGAGGGTTGGGCATGGGGTTAGCGACCCCATCTCGTAGAAAATCAACTCGCTAAAAAAACGCTAACCAGAAAAATTCATTCAAACCATTCAAACTCTGCCCTGGGAGTAGAAGGAAAAATGACGTCTCATGATGAAAGCCGAGTTCCTTCGGAAGTCATGAGGCCGATGCACCTTCTTACAACCAGAGCGACAATTTTTATAGGTACATGGAATGTCCGGACAATGTGGGAGACCGGCAGAGTCTTCCAAATTTCTGCGGAAATGAGGAAATACAACCTGGAAGTGCTTGGAATCAGTGAAACACATTGGACGCAGGTTGGACAACAACGACTGTCTTCAGGGGAACTTCTGTTATACTCCGGTCATGAAGAAGAAAATGCCCCACAAACACAAGGAGTGGCACTGATGCTGTCTAGAAAAGCACAAAATGCACTTATAGGATGGGAATCTCATGGACCGAGGATCATCAAAGCCTCCTTCAGAACAAAGAGAGAGGGCATTACAATGAACATCATCCAATGCTATGCGCCGACCAACGACTACGATGAAGACGCTAAAAACCAATTCTACGATAGGCTGCAGTCAATCTTTGAGAAGTGCCCAACCAAGGACCTGACCATTCTAATGGGAGATTTCAATGCCAAGGTTGGAAAGGACAACACTGGATACGAAGACGTCATGGGACAACATGGACTGGGAGGAAGGAACGAAAACGGTGAGAGATTTGCAAACCTATGTGCCTTCAATAAACTGGTCATAGGTGGCACCATATTTCCACACAAAAACATACACAAAGCCACTTGGATTTCACCGGATCACACTACACAAAATCAAATCGACCATGTCTGCATCAACAAAAAGTTCAGGAGGACGATGGAGGATGTGAGAACCAGGAGAGGAGCTGATATAGCATCCGATCACCATTTGCTGGTCGCCAAGATGAAACTAAAACTCAAGAAGCACTGGACAATGGCGCGGACAACATCGCAAAAGTTTAATACTGCCTCTCTTCGAGATGCTGACAAACTCAACGAATTTAACATAGCCCTCAGCAACAGGTTCCAGGCCTTTCATAACCTACTCAATGAAGAGGGAACCACCATAGAGAGCAGCTGGAAAGGTATCAAGGAGGCAATCGTTTCAACATGTCAGGAGGTTCTGGGCCAAAAGAAGCACCATCACAAGGAATGGATCACTGTTGGTACACTGGATAAAATTGAAGAAAGGAGGAACAAGAAGTCAGCAATCAATATCAGCCGAACAAGAGCAGAAAAAGCCAAGGCACAAGCCGAATACACAGAGGCAAACAAGCAAGTGAAGAGGAGCATCAGGACCGACCGACGTAAATATGTGGAAGATTTAGCGATGACAGCGGAAAAGGCTGCAAGAGAGGGAAACATGAGACAACTGTATGATACAACAAAGAAACTTGCTGGAAATTACCGTCAACCAGAAAGACCAGTGAAAAACAAGGAAGGCAAAGTAATCAACGATATTGAAGAACAACGAAACAGGTGGGTAGAACACTTCAAAGAACTCTTGAATCGACCAGCTCCACTGAACCCACCCAACATCGAAGCAGCACCCACAGACCTCCCAATCGATATTGGCCCACCAACAATTGAAGAGATCAGCATGGCCATTAGACAAATCAAGAGTGGCAAAGCAGCGGGACCAGACAACATCCCGGCAGAGGCACTGAAAGCAAATGTAACAGCAACTGCCAAGATACTCCACATCCTCTTCGGTAAGATTTGGGACGAAGAACATGTACCAACAGACTGGAAAGAAGGACTTCTCATCAAGATACCAAAGAAAGGCGATCTGAGCAAGTGCGACAACTACAGAGGCATCACTCTCCTCTCAATACCAGGAAAAGTCTTCAACAGAGTATTGTTAAACAGGATGAAGGATTCCGTGGACGCTCAACTTCGAGATCAACAAGCTGGATTTCGTAAGGATAGATCGTGCACAGATCAAATCGCAACTCTACATATCATTGTGGAACAATCAATCGAATGGAATTCATCACTCTACATCAACTTCATCGACTACGAGAAGGCATTTGATAGCGTGGACAGGACGACACTGTGGAAGCTTCTTCGACACTACGGTGTGCCTGAGAAGATAGTAAATATCATACGGAACTCCTATGATGGAATAAACTGCCAAATCGTCCACAGAGGACAACTCACCGACTCGTTCGAGGTAAAGACCGGTGTTAGGCAAGGTTGCTTACTCTCACCCTTTCTCTTTCTCCTGGTGATCGACTGGATTATGAAGACGTCAACATCTGGAGGAATGCACGGGATACAGTGGACAGGCAGGATGCAGCTTGACGATTTAGACTTCGCGGATGATCTGGCTCTTCTATCACAAACGCAACAACAAATGCAGGAGAAAACGACCAGTGTAGCAGCAGCCTCAGCAGCAGTAGGTCTCAATATAAACAAAGGGAAAAGCAAGACTCTCCGATACAATACAACATGCACCAATCCAATTACACTTGACGGAGAAGCTTTGGAGGATGTGGAAATCTTTACATATCTGGGCAGCATCATTGATGAACACGGTGGATCAGATGCAGATGTGAGGGCGAGGATCGGCAAAGCAAGAGCAGCATACCTACAGCTGAAAAACATCTGGAGCTCAAAACAATTGTCAACCAACACCAAGGTTAGAATTTTCAATACAAATGTCAAGACAGTTCTTCTGTATGGGGCAGAGACGTGGAGAACTACGAAAGCCATTATCCAGAAGATACAAGTGTTTATTAACAGCTGTCTACGCAAGATACTTCGGATCCGATGGCCAGACACTATCAGCAACAAGTTACTGTGGGAGACAACAAACCAGATTCCAGCGGAGGAAGAAATCAGGAAGAAGCGCTGGAAGTGGATTGGGCACACTTTGAGGAAATCACCCAATTGTGTCACAAGACAAGCCCTCACATGGAATCCTGAAGGTCGAAGGAGAAGAGGAAGACCAAAGAACACATTACGCCGAGAAATAGAGACAGACATGAGAAGAATGAACAAGAACTGGAAAGAACTAGAAAAGAAGGCCCAGGACAGAGTGGGTTGGAGAAAGCTGGTCGGCGGCCTATGCTCCATTGGGAGTAACAGGCGAAAGTAAAAGTAAGTAAGTAATAAAGATTGTTTGATAAAGCCTTATCGTCATTGAGGATCACAAGATTAACCCGGAGTTACAACATCTTATTGCGTATATGAAGAAACGTATTTGCGTATAGTGGAGAACATTATTTTACCACTGACATAATGTCATAACTCCGTTTTTGATAACTCGGTATTCAAGGAAAACTCGTAATAAAAACACTGTTGATGCCAGAGTTAGATGTAACGGCATTACTGCATGAATTATAGCCGCGTTCCGTTAGTGCTTGTTAAATAATCCATAACTGTTTGATTAGTGGTCGTTATTAATCACCGAAACAGATAGAGAGGAATTCTAAGGCACAAATCCCATAGTGGTAGAAGTAGTAAGAGTATAAACAGTAAACGGGAAGATTAGGGTTTGAAGATATTATTCAAGAATTATAAGCAAATGAAATAAATTTGGAAAGAGAAAAAAAGATAGGGACATGAAGAATTCAGAAGATTAGAATTTGGTAGAACACAAAGAGTGGATGCACCTTTGTCATTGAGCCATGCCATTCAAGGTCTCTAACCATCACGTTAATCAACGTAACTAAATACATTTCTGAATATCCAACTTTGAGTTATAGCTTTCTGTATAACTTTTAATAGAATACGGCGAGGATTGGCAAAGCAAGGGCAGCATTTCTACAATTGAAGAGCATATGGAACTCAAAATTACTCTCAACTAACTTCAAAGTGAGAACCTTCAATACGAACGTCAAGACAATCAGTTATACTGTATGGAGCTGAAACGTGGAGAACTACTACATCCATCATCAGGAAGGTACAAGTATTTATAAACAGTTGTCTACGCAAAATACTCAACATCCACTGACCGGATATAATCAGCAACAGCGTTTTATGGGAGAGGATAAACCAGCAGGTTCCAGCTGAAGAGGAAATTAGGAAAAGACGTTGGAAGTGGATCGGACATACATTAAGGAAATCACCAATGTGCATTACAAGGCAATCCCTAACTTGAAATCCGGAAGGGAAGTGGAAAAGAGGAAGGCCAGAGAACACATTAAACCAGAAAATAAAAGCAGATATGAAAAGGATGAATAACAACTGCGAAGAATTGGAAAGAATTGCCCAGGACATAGTTGGATAGAGAATGTTGGTGTGCGGCCTATGCTCCTCCACGAGGGTTAACAGGCGTATGTACGTAAGTAAGTAAATAAAATACATACACAGTTACTTTGGTTATATATGAATTGATCAAAAAAAATCAAAGATCTAAATAAAACCCTTTACTTACTTAGAACGTATTTCAATCATTAATTGATTCGATATAATATAATTCATATTTACATATATACATATACCTTTAAATATACCATTTGTAATTAAATATAATAATAAATATTTATTTAATTTATATATATTCCATATACATAATTTATTTAATTTTAATTCTAATTGATTAATCATCAATAATTGTTGTTGTGTAGTAACTAATCCTTTAGTAATTATCCATTGTTTATAAAATCGATATATACATAGGGGGAACCAATTAATTGTATGATTGATTGTTGATATGAGTGAAAAATAATTTTGTATATTATAATAATTATATATAAGATTATATAATGATATAATAAATGGATGAAATAAATGTAATATACATGAGCTCGAACCATGAACTATATGAATACTTAAATGAATAGTAATATGATCATTATTATTATTATTTATATGATCATCATTATTGAAAAATAGATTATCTGATGTATAAGCAAATAAATTTAGATTAATTTGTTGATTAGAAGGAAATTTTTGTAAATCAATCATGATTTTGGGAGAAAACCAAGAAGTAGATGAAGTCAAAGAGTGAATGACATGTGGATGAAGGGATACAATAAATTGAGCCTTTGAATTAGTTCTTTTATTAATCATAATAGATAATCTAAAACAAATTAACCAACGGACAGCCATATTTGATGGATTTATGGAACTTTTTGGAATATGGATTAATAAAGGTGTTTGATGAATAATAAAATGAGGTAACCAATCAATATTATTATTTATATAAAATGGTGAATATGTCCAAGAAGTTATACTACCAGAGTTACTTGTAAGCAGAGATGAAACATTTATGTGGTGATTATCTCGAAGAATAAATAAATTTGTAGGATAGGTCGTTGAAGTATGATCTGATTCATTGTTATAGTTATTATTTAATAAGATAAATGTTCCTTGAAAACATTGTCTTATCATTAATGTATCCAAATAGAGAGAATTGATCAATTCTTTAATACTGAAATCAGGATTCTATATTAAATAAAAAGAATAAGGAATAGAGAATATGAACAGATCATTGATGGATATATACAAATAAACGTACATTATGTATTCATCTAGTAATAACTAAAATTGTACTCAGTCAGCAAGATTCTCAAATGCAACACGGAGAGCACCAACCCAATCACACTTGATGGCCAAACTCTGGAAGAGGTGGAAACATTCAAGTACCTGGGGAGCATCGGATGCAGATGTAAAGGCAAGGATTGGCAAAGCAAGGGCAGCATTTCTACAATTGAAGAACATATGGAACTCAAAACAACTCTCAACCAATTTCAAGGTCAGAATCTTTAATACGAACATCAAGACAGTCGGTTCTACTGTATGGAGCTGAAACGTGGAGAACTACTACGGCCATCATCAGGAAGGTACAAGTATTTATAAACAGTTGTCTACGCAAAATACTCAACATCCATTGGCCGGATACTATCAGCAACAGCGTTTTATGGGAGAGGACAAACCAGCAGGTTCCAGCTGAAGAGGAAATTAGGAAAAGACGTTGGAAGTGGATCGGACATACATTAGGGAAATCACCAATGTGCATTACAAGGCAATCCCTAACTTGAAATCCGGAAGGGAAGCGGAAAAGAGGAAGGCCAAAGAACACACTACGCCGGGAAATAGAAGCCGATATGAAAAGGATGAATGTTAACTGGAAAGAACTGGAAAGGAAGGCTCAGGACAGAGTTGGATGGAGAATGCTGGTGAGCGGCCTATGCTCCTCCACAAGGGGTAACAGGCGTAAGTAAGTAAGTAAGTACTCAGTCAGTCAGTCAGCTACAACGTAGGACCAGACACATTTATGCATCGGTTCAAGTTGCCGTAACCTCATTAGCACAACAAGATAAACACCGAATTCATAGTAGTTAATTTAGTGGTCGTAGTATATAAAAGATAGGTTGTATATAAGGATATAGTATGGGAAGAAAGAAAGTTATGAAGCAATTTTAATCTCATAGTTTAAGGGAAGATAAAGAGTGTATACACCTATGCCATTGTGATCGATTCTGAGCCATTAATTCTTGAATGTTGATATAGTCCTATCGATAAGATTTGTGATGTGGTCATTAGGGTGAATGACTACCTACAATATTGCCCAACATCTCATAATGCCTGAAAAGTTGAGTTACTGGTGTCAACATTACAACATGGTCAATAGAAGATGGTTGAGACTAAGGGGTTAAACAAATATGACATTGGTCATTACTCAGTGATTAATCGATTTTACAGCTACTCATAAGTGGACCATTGCAATAGCTGATAATTATTAACTCATATGAACTACTGACCGACGTTGATTGCACCACAAAGCATAAACATTTGGAATTTATTTACTATATATCAAATGATATTTTAAGATTGGATGTGGTAAAAATGAGATCTTCAAGTATATTCCTTGAATAATCTACATGTTTAAGGTCAGTGAATTTTGGGTTTCCGAAAATATTCTGTAAGGTCTATTCATGAGATAAAATGGTGAATGTATTTAGTGGAGTTCCCAGAGAACAAAGATTAAATCAGTGATTACTTAATGAGGAAAAAAATTAACGCTATATAGTTAAAAAGTGCTGAAGATGGCTACAGAGCAAACGAGCGATCATAGAAGTATGTAAATGATAGATAAAATTTATCTAATGACAATAATACTTACCGTGAACAGTGAAACTGCTTTTTCCATCTCATCCACGTCGAATATCAGTGAAATATATTGAAGAATTACCACACAATGGATAAGTGTACTGTCTGAGCTAAATGAGGAAGCAAAACATTCTCGAAAGTGTTATGAAGCATGAAGTTTTATAGGCATATAGAAATCTAATAGAAGTTTACGTGCTTTTTTTAATATATCATTCTTTGGTAATAAGAATAAAAGGCCGTTCGACTTGAATCAATCCCTTCATCCTGTTTTCTAGTGGAGATCCAGCTTCTCTCCAAAATTGTTCACTGACAAGGCTGATACCACACGTTCGAGTAGGACCTCCCAGTTATTAACTACTTGATGAGATATAAATAGCATCTGATACCATTGTTGAAATCCTGAAAAGTTGTTTTGTCATTTCCTACTTAGACGGATTCACGCTTACGTTGAACTTCGTGCTGCTTGTATTCCGTGATGCAAAGATATGACGTACATATAACAATAAATAGATCAAAACTAGACAAACGTGAGCATGGTTGGGGTTCCCTGGGATCCCCAGGAGTGTTTTAGGTAATATAAGTAGTTAAAAGATTACTTCTGAATCGCTTATGCCCTAGTGGATAAGGCTTTAGGGATTTAAAGTATTCTTCACAAAGCAAAGATGGATGAGTGGCTAGCAGCTGGATTCAAGAAGCGCGTTTCGTCCTATTTGCCTAAAATGCTTGTGACTTAAGTCAATATCGAGGTAATAGGCACAGTATGCACATATTCTAATAAGAGACTGATCAATTGCAGTCCTAAACATCAATGGGAAGATTCAAGCAAACAATACCAAGTGAATTCATTCTTCACAAAGTTTAAACTTTAGTTTTAAAACAGATTTTGTAGTTCTCCCCTGAACATGTTTTGGAGTCTTTTTATCTTTTTGGAGTGAAGAAGGAAACTCTACATTTCCGTACTTTAAATGGGGTCAGGTAGAACTGCTAAAAATCAAGTGGCATCTCGCTCTCAAGATAGCCAGAAGTGAGCTTTAAAGTTATCAGTGTATGGCTTGCTCGACAGGCAGTTTCATCACAATCAGCATACGACATTAGATCATAGAGTATCAAGACTCCTAGAACCGTTTTAATTTAAGACACTTCTAGAGGAGAAATTCCTGAGTTATATGTACTTTGCAATGTGTCTCACTTTGAAATGTTGAAACTAAGCCGGGTTTTGTTCGCCCAACTTTGAAGTCAAGTCTGATTCTTCTAAAAAATTTAGTTAGTCATCACGGTTGAGTTTCTCCCCAAGGTCAAAATTGTTAACGAAGAATAATAACTTACATATGTATATAGTATATAAATTAAAGAAAATAGGTGATAGTACTGAGTCCTGGGAGACCCCACTAGGACATACTTCAACCAGAGAAAATTTAAAATTCACCCCAACATTAGAAAGTCTACTAGTCAGATACGATTCAGACCAGCCAACCAATAATAACCTGATGTCTACCAGATAGAACTTCTGTTAAGACATCTAAGATTGACTCTAATAGAGTCGAAGTATACCACATCCATTCTCCGCTTGCAACTGGAGATGATGGTCCATCAATATACTACATCCAGCAGATTGGCGATGCAGTAGTTGGACTTTTTGGAACGTCTTAGTGGAGTAAAACGAGGTTGTTGAGTAGTAGGTTGCCCAGGGCATAGTATATTAGGGATACTATAACTATTAAGAATACTTAAAACGGTGGTACTGGCCGGTAGCTTGAAGGTTCGTTGCATCAGTCACCTTCGGACACAAGTGTGCTTTGCTAGCTTCCAACTGTTCGGACCACTTTGACTCGATAAATGTGAGATTACACTAAGAGCTGTTGTCAAGGTTCAGGCCAATTCTCTTGGTTTAGCTAAGTAACTCATGTCCAAGCCATGCAACATGTCCTTAGTTAGGTGTAGTAAGACTGATTTTTAACTCTGTTTTAATTGTAATTTCTCACACGGATTTCGAGTTCTCATTTGAACCTATAGAGTATGTTAATTTTTCAAGTCCGCTTATACGTGCACTTGAAAGAAATTTAGCGTGTCACAAACTTCTTTCATAAAAGCCCAACTGTCTAGTCATCGCATTGAGTCTTTGTCATAAACTGACATCAACTATTACGCCAAAATCTAAGGCTATTTTAAATCACATTGCTTTGTCCATAGATCATAATCTCGCCCGCTAACTTTGCCTAGTTATTAAAGAAATTATATAAAGGTAGTACACTAACAACTCAACTTATACATGATATCGAGATACACAGAAGTGTTGAATTAACATACTTTGACCACCACGTAGAAACGGCAGCATTTAATAGTCGCGATAATCAAATCGCCGCTGTAGCGTACTAGGCCAAAAATGTGCGCATCAGCAGATACAATTTCAATTTCAGTTCGCATATTCAAGGAAACAAGGAAAGATAATATTTGTAATTTTTAACTGACGTTAGAGTTCGATAACAGTTTAAATCTACTAGCAGAAGGTGCTAGTACTGCTTATTTATTTAGATGTCCGATAGTTTACGACTAGACGACGTATCGCGCGCTATTTAAAAGGACAGTGGTATTGTTTCACGTTGAGTCAAATTCACTGTTTTGATCGTAAATTACGTATCAAAACTACCGTTTGCACTTTAATTGAATTTATTTCAGTTAACGTGACATTGTATTTGTGTGTTTTGATTCTGCTTTTGTGTATTTACTGCATCAAAGCATTCTTGGTCGACTGAGGCTTGTTTATTTGATAAGGTTGTGATTTATCTTACATATCTACCTTGCCTATCATTTTGTTTTATTCTAAGATGGTCGGCTCTGTACACAAGTGTGGACAGCCATATTGCCTATTCCCCGTGGAAGAAGGGATGCAATGTGACGAATGTAAAAAGTGGTTTCATAAAATGTGCACCCGCTTAAGCCCTGCTGCCTATAAAAGGTGCTCGAAACCCAATTCTCATTGGCTCTGTATGTTTTGTTGCTCAAGTAAGACATTACTCATACAGGAAGCCATCAGCCTTCTAGCGTTAGCTAAAAAGGTCGAAGTAGGCCGTGCCGGCAACATAGATACTGATAATGAAGATTGTATCAGTGTCGTAAATGCTGCCATGGCAGGTACCATACACCCAATTTCGCAACAGGAAGCAACTATTTGTACTCCGGTACAACCAATGAAAGCCATGCCATTAAGTACTGAGGGACCAGTCGCTTTAGCAGCGACTGAGGACCCGGCTAGAACCACTATCGTCCAGAATAGTTCCAATCTGGATGCTGAGAATAGTGGCAAATGGATTACGCGGAAACGGAAAAGAGACGGAAAAACACCCAAAGAAAGCGCGCGTATAGTCGGTAAGTCATCGTTGAACTCACGTCCTGAGCATCAGGCAACTCCGCTCAAGTCCATACGTAAGGAAATAATTAATACTGTTGTGGATGGAAATAGTCTAACTTCACCAAATGTTGTTGGGAGTAACTCGCTTGACCCACATGACACTGTCATAAAGAAAGCTAATAGCAAGAAGCCGGTAGCTAACCGGCAGGATCTGACATCACGGTCAAAGGCCGTGAACACGACTTTTAAGGCAGTTAAACAGATGCCTAGTGTAATCATCTGGAACTTGGCAGAATCGAAAGACACTGATCCCGCTAAGAGACATGCCCACGACCTGCAGTTAGTGGGATCTCTCATCAGAAATATACTGCCAGAGGAGGTCCCAGGGGTACATATCTCGAAAGTCATCAGCGTAGGAAACACTTCTGGGACTTATTCTTGTCAACAGGTCAGGCATCATTTAAGTGCGAATATAAAAAAATCCGGAATATATGTAAAAAGACCATAGCTAAATCCCGCACGGCTTACGAACGACAGTTGGCATACGATAGCCGTACCTGTCCGAAGCGACTGTTTTCGTACGTTAAAAGGCGGACGAAACGTAGTGATGGCATCCCCTCATTACTGTTAAGCGAAAATTCAGCTTTATTGGCTGAATCTGATCTGGCGAAAGCGGAGTTATTTGCGAACTATTTCAGTGAAGTCTACTCTACGTGTAGTGTTACAACTACTTGTCCCGTTGACAATGAGATACCAGCCATAGGACCCTTACACGTGACAGAGGATATAGTTCTTCCTTTGATAACTAACCTAAAACCTTGTAAGATACCGGGCCCCGATGGGTTACACCCACGTTTGCTGTCGTCGCTTGCGGACATTATCTCAAGACCGCTCACGATGCTCTTCAACATGTCCCTTTCACAGGCTCAACTACCTAGAGACTGGAAAGACGCCATAGTTAGTCCTATATTTAAGGATGGTCAGAGACGGATAGTATCTAACTACCGGCCTGTTAGCCTGACCAGTATAGTAGTTAAGTTACTTGAAAAATTAATTCGGGCTAAGCTACTGAGCCACATAGATTCGTACAATCTGTTAACTCCCGAGCAACAAGCATTCATGCTTGACTAACTTACTCATTGCGAGAGAGGATTGGAAAGCTGCCCTAGACAACGGCCAGTCTGTCGACGTGATATTTATAGATTTTAGCAAAGCGTTTGACAAGGTTTCACACTTAGGTCTTATGCAAAAGCTCTCGAGCTTTGATATAACAGGTGCTATACAGGAATGGATAGGAAGCTTTTTATGTGACCGCAGACAGAGAGTGAGAGTCAATGGAACTCTATCCGAATGGAAACCGGTCAAAAGTGGTGTACCCCAAGGCACCATCTTGGGCCCTTTACTTTTCCTTCTGTATATTAATGAACTACCTTTATTACTTAAGTCGTCGACGTTATTGTTTGCGGATGATGTTAAAATCTGGAGAACAATAAGAAATGAGATTGATCGTTGTTATCTACAAGCAGATTTAGACGAATTAGTTAGGTGGGCTCATGATTGCGGCCTGGAAGTTAATTCCAGGAAGAGCGTGTTCATGCACATCGGGCACGATATTAGTTACCATTATACCATTAATGGTACATCTCTGCCACGCGTTCATGAGCACAAAGACTTAGGAGTAATTATAAGTCACGACTTAAAAACTACTACGCACTGCAGTGCGGTTGCTTCCAAAGGCTATCGCGCGCTATGGTCGCTTCGCAGAGCATTTAAATGCTTCGACGAGGATATGTTTCGAATTTTATATCCCACCTATGTAAGGTCACACTTAGAATACTGTATCCAAGCAGCTAGCCCTTGTCTGATAAAGGATACTAAATCGCTTGAGCGTGTCCAGCGTGTAGGGACAAAATTAGTAAAGGGTCTTTCCAAACTCCCTTACGATGAGCGTTTAAAACGTCTAAATCTTTTCCCCTTATCTTATCGTAGGACGCGAGGTGACCTTATACTGGCATTTCGTATCTTTAATTATGATCTGGGTGTTAATATGTCTTATCTTTTTGCTCTCTCCAGCACTAATAATCTCCGGGGTCATAGCAAGAAGGTTCTGAAACCGCGATCTAATAAACTAAAGGTGGGGTCCCGTTTTTCTCATCGAGTGGTCAATGACTGGAACGCTTTACCAGAACAAGTGGTATCAGCACCATCAGTGAACATTTTCAAAAAGAAGCTGGACCTTCACTGGAAGGAAATCTGTCAGGATTAACACAGGTTCATCAACCTACTATCCTTATTACTGAAGACTGACTGAAGACTGAAGACTGAAGACTGAAGATACAAAACTCCAGACAAAGACAATTTAATTCCAGCTCTTGATTTCAACGAATGTCCTGTCAAGTTGTCCACCACGGACAGAACAAAAACCTAAGTAACAATAATACCGAAGGCTTCATTCAGTAAATAATAAGCTAATATTAGATCACGTAAGTTATACCAAGATAGTCAGAATTGGTCAATTCAACCAAGAAAGACCTTACACCATTTTAGTCTCTCCCGTTGAACTCTTTCAGTGCCATGAACTGTATGGTTTTTAAGTTAGGATTCTGTTACTGAACTCTATATTTTAATTGTGATGTCATATAAGTTCTGTATAGGAATTTCTGAATTTTGAAGTGACCTACAAATAACCCATAAAATCTGAAAACCTTTGTCAGTGTCCGTCTCATGATTATGCTTATTTCTGAGATTTTCACTTCCTATAACCGTCAAGTCTTTGAAACCAGTAACTTTAAAGGAAGCGATTTCATTTATTATACAGTCATTAACATCATCTCAATAAATAATTTGCATAGCTAGGTTCTTGGTTAAACGAAACTCATACGAATTGAAATAATCCCGATTACTTACTTACTTACTTACGCCTGTTACTCCCAATGGAGCATAGGCCGCCGACCAGCTTTCTCCAACCCACTCTGTCCTGGGCCTTCTTTTCTAGTTCTTTCCAGTTCTTGTTCATTCTTCTCATGTCTGTCTCTATTTCTCGGCGTAATGTGTTCTTTGGTCTTCCTCTTCTCCTTCGACCTTCAGGATTCCATGTGAGGGCTTGTCTTGTGACGCAATCAGGTGATTTCCTCAAAGTGTGCCCAATCCACTTCCAGCGCTTCTTCCTGATTTCTTCCTCTGCTGGAATCTGGTTTGTTCTCTCCCACAGTAACTTGTTGCTGATAGTGTCTGGCCATCGGATCCGAAGTATCTTGCGTAGACAACTGTTAATAAACACTTGTATCTTCTGGATAATGGCTTTCGTAGTTCTCCACGTCTCCGCCCCATACAGTAGGACTGTCTTGACATTTGTATTGAAAATTCTAACCTTGGTGTTGGTTGACAATTGTTTTGAGCTCCAGATGTTTTTCAGTTGTAAATATGCTGCTCTTGCTTTGCCGATCCTCGCCCTCACATCTGCATCTGATCCACCGTGTTCATCAATGATGCTGCCCAGATATGTAAAGGTTTCCACATCCTCCAAAGCTTCTCCGTCAAGTGTAATTTGATTGGTGCATATTGTATTGTATCTGAGAGTCTTGCTTTTCTCTTTGTTTATATTGAGACCTACTGCTGCTGAGGCTGCTGCTACACTGGTCGTTTTCTCCTGCATTTGTTGTTGCGTTTGTGATAGAAGAGCCAGATCATCCGCGAAGTCTAAATCATCAAGCTGCATCCTGCCTGTCCACTGTATCCCGTGATTTCCTCCAGATGTTGACGTCTTCATGATCCAGTCGATCACCAGGAGAAAGAGAAAGGGTGAGAGTAGGCAACCTTGCCTTACACCAGTCTTTACTTTAAACGACTCGGTGAGTTGTCCTCCGTGGACGATTTGGCAGTTTAGTCCATCATAGGAGTTCCGTATGATATTTACTATCTTCTCAGGCACACCGTAGTGTCGAAGAAGCCTCCATAGTGTCGTCCTGTCCACGCTATCAAATGCCTTCTCGTAGTCGATGAAGTTGATGTAGAGTGATGAATTCCATTCGATTGATTGTTCCACAATGATCCGCAGAGTTGCGATTTGATCTGTGCACGATCTATCCTTACGAAATCCAGCTTGTTGATCTCGAAGTTGGGCGTCC